GAGGAGTGAGGAGTGAGGAGTGAGGAGTGAGGAGCGAGGAGCGAGGACCAAGGAGCGAGGAGCGAGGAGTGAGGAGTGAAGAGTGAGGAGTGAGGAGTGAGGATCGAGGAGTGAGGAGTGAGGAGGAGGAGGAGCGAGGAGCGAGGAGGAGGAGGAGGAGGAGGAGGTGGAGGAGGAGGAGCGAGGAGTGAGGAGTTAGGAGTGAGGAGTGAGGAGTGAGGAGCGAGGAGCGAGGAGCGAGGCGGAGCAGGAGGAGAAGGAGGAGGAAAAAGAGGGGTGGGGCTGGGCCCCGCCTACCCACATGAGGACGAGTGTCTCCTCCTCGCCACCCCCCTCCCCAGGGGGCGAGCAGGACTGAAGCCCTACCCCCACCCCCCCTCGGGTAGCAGCAACTGATCGCACGCGTTGCGGGCGGGGGGCCTTGGACCCTCCCCAAATGTCAGTGCTCGCGCACGCCCCGACGAGCCGACCCCCCCCCCCCCCCCACCCCGCCAAGCGTTACCGCCGCCCCTCCTCCTCGGGAGAGAGGGGAGGAGGAGGAGGAGGAGGAGGAGAGGAGGAGGAGGAGGAGGAGGAGGAGGAGGAGGAGGAGGAGGACTGGGAACCGTGTTGACAACGACCTCGAGGAGGAGCTCGTCGTCCCCCCCCTCACTCCCCAGGAGCGAGTGGGGCCCCTGCACGGCCTCCTGCGGCACGGGCGGCAAGAGGCGCCGCCAGCGCCTGCTCCGGCTCGTGGAGGGCGGCGAGCAGGACGATGCCGAGGACGGGAGTGCCCAACACGAGGTGGGAGGAGTGAGGAGTGGAGGCAGACCTGCCATTTCTGGGGGAGCACGGGTCGGGGGGAGCTGGGGGCGCCCTCCCAGATGATAATCCTCCTTTATGTAATTTCAAGCAGTTGCACCTGAGACTTCGTACTGTTGTGATGCTGTAGGGTAGCAGCGACGGCCTTGGAATCAGCCCTGAAGGTGGCGCGAAACCCCTCGCTGGACAGCGCTAGGGTGCATCCCCCTCCCTCCGAGAGAGGGGGATGCACCCAGACGTGAGGGCTAGGAGCTCCTACCTAGACGTCAGGGGCCAGGAGGTTCGAGATTCGAGTCGTGGAGGTTTTGTTTGACGTCTTCGTCGGTGCTAGGCGGTTTTCCAGCCTCGGGGTGCGCTCCGGCAGCTGCGCCTCGCCGAGAGCGGTGTCGGGGGCGCCCGGATCGTCCCGACCGGCCGCCACAGTGCCGAGCTATGGCCCGAAATCCAGGGAGTGCCGGTAGGAGGATCGACCCCCAATCGCCTATCTCATCGCCGATAGGGGCCTGATGACCTACCCCGCGCCCAGGTATCTGCGGATTCTCCATTTTGAGGCCCCTCGCCGATCTATCGGAACTGTACGGTAGGTTCATGGGGCGATGGCGCGTCGGCGACGCCGGCGAAGGCGTTCAGGATTGAACTCCGCGTGATAGAACGACGCGGGAGCACCGAGGGACACGGTAACGCCACAGGACCCGACGGAATTCGATTTGGAACGATCGGGGCCGCGATCGGTTCAAGGTTGAACGATCGACGCGGTGTCAAAAACCGTTGCGCGCGCCTGCGCCGCGCGAACCTACCGTAAGCGCCGATTCCAGCTCGATGTTGTCCCCCATCTCCCATCTCAGCCGGTCCCGCCCTGGCGTCGCCCTGTCCAAAGTCAGGAGGAAAAGAAACACACGGACACAATTAATCCTCGATTTCCCAGAAAATATGGGAAAATATGGGAAGTGGGCGGGAAGACAGAAACCCAGAAAATATGGGAAAATATGAGGAATATTTTGATTTGTGTGTATTTATTTGTGTGTCCCAGGGCCCCTTCACAAGGGAGGAGGGCGAGATGGCCCGCAAGCCCTTTCTGTCGCAGCGCCGGCGGGCACGCTGCGCGGGAGAGCCGGGGCTCCGGGGCAGAGAGTGGCGAGTGGCACATCACGGGAGGCACGGGATCAAATCGGCGGGGAGGGAGGGGGGAGGGAGGGAGGGGGGGAGGGGGGAGGGAGGGAGGGAGGGGGGGGATCAGATCAGAGCGGCGGGGAGGGAGGGAAGGCCTTCTCAGAAGGCGGCGGGACTTCTCAGCGACCCTCCAGCCTTGCGAGAAGGTGTTGGTGTCTTCGGGGAAGGCTCAGAGAACTTTTCAGAAGGCACGGGAGCTTCCGAGCCTCTTGAGAAGGCCCGCCCCGTCTCACTTCCCCCCCCCCTGGCGCGCCGCCTGCCAAAGGAGGGGCGCAGGACGACGAGGACGGGACGGCGCCGACGAGGACGGCGACGACGAGCAGAACAGGGCAAGGGTGCAGGCCAGACCGCCCACGGGGGCACGAAGATGATCGTCCTTGCTCCCCCTTGCGGCCCTTGCCGCCGAGGTGTGCCCCCCCACCTCTCCAGGACGGCCTCCGCGGCAGCGCGACGCACGTCGCACGCCGCGACGTGCGTGGCGCCAGCGCGCGACGCCAGGGGACACTTCGGAGGAGGAGAGGGTACCCGGTACCGCTGCCCCTCCCTCGTGTCCCAGTTCCGGCGCGCGCCTCCCGGGAGGCCCCCGCCGCCACGGCTGGCTTCGCCTCGAAGGTCTGGGCAGAAGGCACCACGGGAGGGGTCCCGGGAGAAGCTCGGGCAGGTGCGAAGGCGGGATCGCCCCCACGGGGGGTCAAGGCAAAGGCCCTCTAGAGGGGCCCAGGGCCTCCTCTTGGCGCCAGCAGGGGCCCACAAGAGACCCAAAAGGGTCTCGTTGGGGCTTGTTCTTCACCCTCCGTCCCATAGCCCCGCCGTCATGGTTTTTTCACTGCGTTGACCCCTCCCTGGAGGTCTCGGACCATTCCCCCGGACCGGTTTTCATCCAGAGTCGTTCTGTTGACGGTCCCGAGTGCCAGGAAGGGCCCCCAGAGGCCGACAATGGCATAAAAAACATCCCGCCATGGTTTTTGCATTGCCCGAGGGGGTCTGGGATGTGGGCCACCCTCCATTCGCACCCGCCCGAGTAGCGGCTTCGGTGCCTGCTGGTTCCCCTCGAGGGAGGGGGAAAAGGGCGGCCGCGGAGAGGGCGCTGGCCCGGCAGGCGGAGCGCTCCCGAGTCCTGGCCTCGTCACGCCGTTTGTTGGCGCCCCCCCCGGGCTCCGAGGTCGGAGTCTCGTGCTCAAGGGGCCGCCCGTGCCGCGAACGGCGGGGAAGAGGGCCGGGGAGCAGAGAGGAGTAGTTAGAGAGGAGGAGGAGGAGGAGGAGGAGGAGGAGGAGGAGGAGGAGGAGGAGGAGGAGGAGGAGGAGGAGGAGGAGGAGGAGGAGGAGGAGGAGGAGGAGGAGGAGGGGAGGAGGAGGAGGAGGCGAGGAGGAGGAGGAGGAGGAGGAGGAGGAGGAGAGGAGGAGGAGGAGGGGGAGGAGGAGGAGGAGGAGGAGGAGGAGGAGGAGGGGGAGGAGGCTGAGGAGGAGGAGGAGGAGGAGGGGGGGGAGGAGGAGGGGGATGAGCAGGAGGAGGAGGAGGACGAGGAGGAGGAGGATGAAAGTGAGGAGGACAGCGGAGGTGGGTGCCGTTTGGTTTCCCCACACGGGAGGGGAATGGCGGCCGCGGAGCGGGGGCTCCGGCACGGCGGAGCGCGCCCGAAGCTTAGCCTTTCCACGCCAGGGTGGCGCTCCCCAGGCTCCGAGGTCGGAGTCTCGTGCAAAGGAGCCACCTGTGCCGCGAGCGGCGGGGGAGAGGGCCCCAGCTTCATCGAGAGTACAAGAACCCCTAAACCGAAGAACAGAAGGACAATTGTCGGGCTTGGAGGGTGGGGCTGGGAGAAGTGAGGATATCATTGCCCGTGGGCGGCCGAAGGTCTCGTTCATTACATCTGGGTGCCATTGCTCATACCCTTCATCCTCCCAACCCCTTCCTCCAAACACCGTAATTTTTCTCTTCGTGCTACCACAGTGAAGGCGTGGCCTCGCGTCAGCTCTCGTCTTGCACTCGAGAGAATACATCTGGGCGGTTTGGTGCGATGCATCTGCAGAAAAAAGAACCCGTACCTCTGATGTTGCTGGTCCTCCCAACCAGAGGCCCCCTCCCAAAGGGCCATGGGGCCCCTTTTTTGGTTGCCCAGGGTAGACGCAGGACGTGCCAGCGATGTTGCAGCACACCCTCTTGTCCCGAGTGCCCGCCCCATCGGTCCCTACAAGCGGTCCTTCTCCCTGCGCGAAGGGCCACCCTTAAAAGGCGAGCGCCCCTATGGGCCCCCAGCTCGGGCGGGATCTCCGTTTTGAGGGAACCCGCCCTCCATCCATCCTTCGTTTTTTTCAAATCGTGTGTGTCGCAGCGTGGAGTCCCAGAATGCAAGGAAGTACCCAGCCACAGCCCCCGCTCTGAGCGCCGTCCATCCGAGTAATTAGTTCGCTGTTCCGTATTTTTTCTTGTTGGTTCCCTACCTAGGCTCTGCCTAGAAGGGTTCCTACTGTCTTTGCTTAAAGGGGCCGGGCAGTGTAACCCGCCCCGGGCGGTTCCCCCAGTCCCCTGGGAGAGGTTCCCCCGGTCCCCTGGGAGCTTTAGTTTTATCTTTAGCTTTAGCTTTAGTTTAGCTTTAGCTTAGCTTTAGCTTAGCTTTAGCTTAGCTTTAGCTTAGCGTTAGCTTAGCATTAGCTTAGCATTAGTCTAGTGTTAGCTTAGTTTCAGCTCAGTTTTAGCTTAGCTTTAGCTTAGCTTTAGCTTATAGATTTAGCTCAGCGTTAGTTTAGCTTCAGCTCAGCTTTAGCTTAGCTTTAGCTTAGCTTTAGCTTAGCTTAGTGTTTGCTTATATTCAGCTTAGATTTAGCTTAGATATAGATTAGCGTTAGCTTAGCTTTAGCTTAGCGTTAGCTTAGCGTTAGCTTAGCATTAGCTTAGTGTTAGCCTAGTTCTAGCTCAGCTGTCGCTTAGTTTCAGCTCTGCTTTAGCTTAACTCAGCGTTAGCTTAGCTTCAGCTCAGCTGTAGCTTAGCTTTAACTCAGCGTTAGCTTAGCTTCAGCTCAGCTTTAGCTTAGCTTTAGCTTAGCTTTACTGTTGCTACGAATGCTGCTTTCCTGGGGGCTCCAACTCCTCGGTAGGGTCGCACTGGGATAATTCTGCAATCTAGCGAAGCCCTGGGCGAGAGCCCCGTTGTGACAACGGACCGCCCCCCATCCGTGCAACTGTTGCACAGGATTGCACGTGTGGTCGTAGTCTTAAAGATATCTCAGGCGAGAGCTTCATGTTGAAAACGAGCCGGCCTCCATCCGTGAATTGCTCGATGCTTTTGAGACGAATGTGCGCGGCGTTGCGCCGATGACCACGTTTCCTGACCAGTGCTTGCACTCAGGGGTTCATATTTCTGTTCCCAGGAACCGGGCTGTGTCTTTGGTCTGGTTGCTATGTGGCCGCCGTTGCCACCCCGTCGCCGCCTCGTCGCCGCCCGTCGTCTAGGTCGTGCCTTCGGTCTGTCGCCTATGTTGTCGCCGTCCCCGCCCCGTCGCCGCCTCGTCGCCGCCCGTCTTGTGGACCTGTCTGTCGGTCTGGCGGCTATGCTGTCGTCGTCGCCGCCCAGTCGCCCCCTAAATTGGACGACGTAGATTGCACCACATAGATTGCATCACATAGGTTGCACCACCTAGGTTGTACCATATATATATATATACATATATTGCACCACACGTATTTCACAACATAGGTCGCACCACACTGATTGCATAACACAGATGATCCCAGAGAAAAAACCCAATCATAATTTTGGGGGGCTATGGGGCTTTAGGGCTTTAGGGCTATGGGCCATAGGGCTATAGGGCGATGTGGCCATAGGGATGTAGGGCTAGAAGCCTTTAGGGCTATGGGGCTGTAGGGCTACAGGGCTGTAGGGCTATAGGGCTAAGGGCTATAAGGCTATTCGGGCTATGAGGCTATAGGGCTTTAGGGCTATACGGCTATAGGACTTTTAGGGCTATAGGGCTATAGGGCTATAGGGCTATAGGGCTATAGGGCTATGGGGCTATGGGGCTATGGGGCTATTGGGCTAGTGGGCTATTGGGCTATAGGGCTATACGGCTATAGGGCTATAGGGTTATAGTGCTATAGGGATATAGGGCGATTGGGCTATTGGGCTATAGGGTTATAGTGCTATAGGGATATGGGGCGATTGGGCTATTGGGCTATAGGGATATAGGGCTATTGGGCTAGGCACCCCCGGGCACTTCTGAGCACCCCGGGCACCCTGGCACCCCTGGGCACCCGGGCACCCCCGGGCACCCCCGGGCACCCGGGCACCCTGCCCCGGCCACCGAAATCGGCCACACACCTGGGCACCCGGGCACCCCCGGGCACCCCCGGGCACCCGGCCCCGGCCACCGAAGTCGGCCGCTCACCTCGCCTCAGCTTTATATCCGCTAGGACCCCTACAGAGGCAAGCTCTGATTGGGGAATTACATATTTACATTGCTCAGCATAGATTGCACCGCCCAGATGCACCACGTAGATAGGACCACATAGGTCACAACACATGTTGCACAACATAGGTTGCACCGCATAGCTTGCACCACATATATTGCACCGCAGGAAACACAACACACGTTGCATAACTCACATTGAAAACGTACATTGCACTGCATATATTGCGCTCCGCATAGGTTGCACCACATATATTGCTCCACATGTGTTGCACCACATCGATTTCACCACATTGATTGCACCACATAATTATCTTGCCCACTACATCTTGTACAACATTTGTGATGCACAAGATAGGTTGCACACAACATACGTTGCACCACGTCGATTGCACCGCATATACTGCGCACCACATAGGTTGCACCATACACATCGCACCATATAGACTGCACCACATATGTCGCACCACATAGATGACACCACATAGTTTGCACCATATACATTGCACCACTTAAATTACACAAAGTCGATAGCACAACATAGTTTGCACCACATAGGTGGCACCACATAGGTTGCTCCACATAGAATGCACCACACACCTGGAAGCTTTGAAGACGAGTGCGTGCAGCGCGAAGGCGATATACAAATGAAGCGCCCGGCCGCCATCCGTGACAGTCTTGGAATGTGTAAGTTCCGGGATTGTCAGTTGTGAGGAAGTCTCAAGCGAGACGCTCGGCCCGACCTACAGGCACGCCGAGTGTTGCGACATGCAGGGTTCTTTTATGATGAAAAGTGTCGGACGTTTTTCTCGCCCTCCTGATCCCACTCGTCCCATTCCTCTTCCTCCTGCCCGTCCTCCACCTTTTGTTCTCACTGTTCTTGTGCATTCTGCACAGCACGCTTCTAGTCCGGATGCCCTCAGTCCTATCTTCCCTCCTCACCTTTACCACCGTCAATTGAGCATCACCCCTGGCCTTATCAGTTTCGTTGTAAGCCTCAGGCTAGACACCCGTGTGGATATCATGGAGATTGTCTTGGCGATGACTTGTGGTTTTGCGGAACACCTCTTGCCGAGTGTAGCCAATTGTTGGGTTGCGTAGCTCCCGCAAGTCCCGCAAAACTAGATCCCCGACCCAGCGTAAAATTGTAATTGGTATTTTGTGAGTTCTTGGGGGTATGGGACGGTCGCGCATCTTATGTCAGATTACCGGGCGAGCAGAACAATAATCTGACAGTCGAGGGCTTCTCGGTTGTCAGATTATTGTTCTGTTGCCCCGGCGAGGCTCGACGAGGAGGTCAACGCACTGCGATGCATGAGGCGCCGCCGAACAAGCCCCTAACTTCACTGTGAGGTACTTGCCGAAGCAAGCGGCGCCGCAAAAATGGATTAGACGTCCGCCTACAAGATGCCTCGTCCAGACTGCCAGCGCCAGAGCTTGCATGCGAAACAACTGCACAAACAGGAAGTTCTGGGCACTCCGCGCGGATTTCTTGGATCGACGCTGCACCCCCGTCCCTGGCGCGCGGAGCGCGGCAGGGGCTGCGCTGGAGGCGCCGCCAGGGGAGGCCAGCGCCGATCCATCAAATCTGCGGGGAGCGCAAACACTTTCTGCTTATGCCGTTTTATCTTCTTCCAATGAGGCAGAGATTCTAGGCCTCCTAGATTGGGCCCGAGTAGAGGGGGTCGGAGGATCGCACCGCATCGCCGATGCATCGGTGATGCAGCTCGATGTGGAGACCGTGTTTCCCCACGCCGACGTCGCCGATGCATCGCCGACGTCGCTGAGGCATCGCCGAAGCATCGCCGATGCATCGGCGATGCATTGGCGATGCGGCGCGATCCTTCAACCCCATCTACACGGACCCCTTCCAGGGGGCCTCTAAAGATCCGGCCCACGAGCTCACGACGGGCAACTCTAGGATGTGCCCGTTGGCCGCCGCCGGCGACGGCGCGCGCGCAGGACGCCCCGCAGCAGCACACCGCCACGGGCCCGCTGCTGCCAGAGGTTCGGCGCTGCTTGCCGCGGCCGCCTCGCTCCGTCGGCGTCTGCGTCGGCGTCGTCGGCGTCGGCGTCGGCGTCGGTATCGGCGTCGGCGTCGGCGTCGGCGTCGGCGTTGGCGTTGGCGTCGGCGTCGACGTCGGTCGTCGTCATCGTCGTCGTCGTCGTTCGTTCGGAGGTGAAAAACGGACAAGGTACTGATACCGCTACCCGTCGCTCGTTTTTGCGTCCTTGGGCAGCCATGGAGGCCCTCGTCGCCACGGTTGATTCGCCTTGACATTCCGGTCAGAACGCAGCCCAAGAGAGGTCCGGTGAGTTGTCGTCGTCGTCGTCGTCGTCGTTGTTGCCGCCGTTGCCGCCGCCGCCGCCGCCTTGTCGGCGTCGTCGTCGTCGTCGTCGTCGTCGCCGTCGCCGTCGCCGTCGCCGTCGTCGTCATCGTCGCCGCCGTCGTCGTCGTCGTAGTCGTTGTCGTCGTCGTTCGGTTTCCTCCTCCTCCTCCTCGGTTTCGAGGTTCGAGGTTCTCGGCGGTTTCCTGATCTCGGGATGCTTGCCAGCGGCTGCGCCTCGCTGAGTGCGCTTTTGGGGGGTGCCCGAGTTATGACCCGAGCGGCCGCCAGAGAGACGGGTTAGGACCCGAGCGCCAGGGGACGATGGGGTTAAGTCGGGCCTGTCCTTCTACGGGAGGGGTATTCCAAAATATTCAAAAAATAGTCAGGGGACGATTTGTTGGTGTATGTTTTGACTATTTCTAGTTTTTTGTTGACTCTTTTTTCAATTTTCGCCCAAAATCCGCCCGTAGGGGGACACGATGGGGGTCGGTTGCCCCCACCTGCCCCCGCCCCAGAATACTCCTCGGCCTTCTGAGCCTCGAGCCTCCTCTTTCCCCCGTCTCCTCTTCCGCGTCCTAGGCATCTTCCTCCTCCTCCTCCTCCTCCTCCCTTCCCCCCTCCAACTTATGGTGGTGGTGGAAAACACGCCCATCAAGGACCACGTACCCCCAATGAGGTGTCGCGGCGGCAACGGTTCCATCCACGGTGGGCGCCAAAACGCAGCCGTTGGGCGTCCAGAGGTGGACCCTGAGGCCCCCTCTCCAGGGCCAGCGAGCACCTCCTCCTCCTCCTCCTCCTCCTCCTCCTCCTCCTCCATGCCTGTTCCTTATGAATAACTCCTCCCTGTCGCACCCCGAGGCCAAGTGGAAGGGCGGGCTGGGCGTTTCGCCTGAGACCTCCTTCCTCTTATGAGCCTTAAGCTGAAACATTGGCAGCAGTTTTAAAGAATGAGCGTGGGTCGCTTCCAAAATGTGGCTCTCGCCTGAGCGTCGCGCACATCCGTTTTTCAACATTTGCAAGAGTTTCACGCATTGAGGGCGGGTGGTATTCAAAATGTGGTTCTCGCCGTAGCGCCGCGCACATTCGTTCTCAACAGTTGCAAGAGTTTCACGGATTGATGGCTTCTGGTTTTCAAATTGTGGTTCTCGCCGTAGCGCCGCGCACATTCGGTTTGAACACTTGTAAGGGTGTCACAGAATGAGGGTGGTTCGTTTTCAATTCAAATTGTGGTTTTCGCCGTAGCGCCGCTCAAATTCGTGTCAAACAGTTGCAAGAGTTTCACGGATCGAGTGCTGGTCGTTTTCAACATGTGGTTATCGCCGTAGCGCCGCGCACATTCGTTGGGAATGAAGTTGCAGGAGTTTCATTGGTTCTCATCCGATGCTTGACGGACCCGAGGCCCGGCGATGGCCCCTGGAGGCCGAAGATGGCGAAAAATTTCCCGTCACGATTTTTCCCGCGACGCGAGGGGGTCTGGGACTGTGCCTGGTGCAGTCTGTGCAGTGCGCGCTGTGTTGTGCCGTCGGCGCGCTGCAGCTTGGGCCGTTTTGTGGCCCCCCCGCAGGGCGCGCTGCCTCCGATGCACGGTCACCCTGGGGGCATCCAGGCGCCCAAGAAGCCAGTTACATCCAGTTGAGTCGTTGCTTCGGTCCGATCGATTCTTTTCGAGCTATCACCGTGACGAAAGTTTCTTTCAATCTGCCTTCGCCAGTAGCGCATCCGCGCGGAGCAGTTCGGAGTAGAACTGCTCCAAGTACTCCGCGCGTAGGCGCTTCCCGCTCGATACATAGGGTTTGGAGCTGAGTAGTTTCTAATCTGGTTTTGGGGTAACAGAGTTTTAAGCAGTATGCGGATTCGAAATTACTCCGCCGAATGACACAGTCACCATGCCACGTTAGGAATATTGAGAGGGACAGGAGACATGAGATAGCATCATCATGGCAAATTGAAGAAACTTGTATCCCATATCGAGTCTGGCTGGCCCGATCCGATTCGATTCTGGTATTCTGGCGATCCGATGCGGCCCGGTGTTCACATGGCGTTGGTGTGCATCTTGGCGCAGCCGATGCGAAGCGACTTCGATTATGTGTCGATGCAGCCCGATCCGCCGATGCACATTTCGATTCGATCCGATTTGCCCAGCCGATGCTGATTCATCATGTCCTGTCCTTTCTCACGTTGCATGCTCGGGGACCCTGCCAGCCCTGCAAATTTCAGTGTGTTTGTATTCCCGACGCGGGTACGACACGGATTCGACGTGGATCTGACGTGGGTTCGACGCGTTCTGCATGGGTTCGAGCGGGTGCCTGCGCGACGGGACAGAGAAGGATCCCCGAAGATGCAGCATCGTATCGTTTCGTGCACCGTGAGACGAGCGAGCCTCTTGATCGCAACAGGAAGAGCCTCCAGGTGCCAATCGTGGCGCAATGCTAGGTCCCGCTGTCTTTCGACTACTCCAGATTTCGTAATAAAGGGAGGGGGGTCTCATTTCGGGGGGGGTCTCTTCCAGGCTATCTTGGAGGGCCTGGGGGGTCTGGGGACGATGTTTTGGAGGGTTCTCCCAGGGGAGGGGGGTCTAAAACTTCTCGTCTGGGAGGGTTGAGACCCCCTCCCTTTATTACGAAATCTGGAGTACTCTCGCCTCTCGGATCCCTCTGCTGCCTCCTCTGGCATCACCGCTCCTGCATGCTCGCCCCCCTCTCGGTGCTTGTGCCGCTGTGCCCGTTGCCGCCCTGTTGCGGCCGGCGCCCGTGGAGCTGTGAGCGCCTGCGGTGCTCACTGTCAATTGTTGCATACACTTTAGGCGATGCTTAAGAAAACTTAAGTTTTCGGCCAGAGTCTCGATTTTTCTTAACTTTTCAATGCAAATCCCAAGATTTTGATAGAAGCTCTGGGGTTTTATTCAAATTCTGAGACTCTGAATTCTTAACCCATGATTTCTTCAGCATCTCGCATGGTGTACGCACCCTGTTTTTCTTTCAGGGGTTCTCGTGGCCATTTCTGGGGGAACAACATCCAGAATCAAGGAGCATACTCAATTCTTATGTCGACGGGACGGGCATTGATTCTTAGATGCGACGTGGCCCGCGCGAATGATGCGTGCATGGATCACCGCAGGAGTGACCAGCGTTTGCCAAGTTGTGCTGCCGCGCGATTCCGCCGCCACGACCAGGTGCGTGACGACACGCTGAGGGAGGGGGAGCGTGGGGGGGGGGGCACGTGGGGAGTTTTTGGTTGCCACACGGACGCGTTGTCTTTACGGAGGCGGGGGGGTTCTTAGAAGGCAGCTGTTTTTGAGAAGGGCCCCGAGGCTTCCAAGAAGGCTTCCTAGCAGACGCGACGTCATCTGCGAAGACCAACTGCCTCCTTGAACAACCCTCGCCTTCGTGCGCCCCCGCCCCCGCTCGTGCGCGCCGCCAGGGGGCATTCTACACGGGGTTGTGACTTTGAAACCGCGTTCCTTCAGGAATCGAGGGCGGCAAAGAGGGGGGTGAGGACTAGGGGGGGGGATATCATGGCGGGGGCCAAGATATTTCCCCAAATTTCATGGCGCCTCTCCTTGCTTTAACGCGTCCCCGCCCCCCCCCCCTGGGCCGCGCACATGCCGCCGGCCATGATTTGCACCCCCCTCTCTTGGACACCCCCCTCTTTGCCGCCCCCGAAGGAAGGGGCACGTCGCAGGGGCCTTGCCAAACAGAGGAGCGCATGTGGAGATCGATGCGCCGGCGGGCGGGGGGCGGGGCGGGCGGGCGCTCGTCCTCGCAGTGGGCGACGCTGGCGGACGCGAGCATGCCCGACGCCCGCAGACCGCTGCAGGTGCACAGGCGGATGCTGCAGCCGTCACGTCCAACAACGGATCTGCCCGGCCGGCAGGTGCCTCGCGGAGGCTTCCGATCCGGCGATGGCCCTGGGGGCCCATAACTGTCGGGGGCGGCAAAGAGGGGGGTGATGACTAGGGGGGGGGATATCATGGCGGGGGCCATGATAGTTCCCCAGATGTTATGGCGCCTCTTCTTCTTTCATTATGCCCCTGGCCCCCCCGCTGGGCCGCGCGCATGCCGCCGGTCATGATTTGCACCCCCCGTTCTTGGACACCCCCCTCTTGGCCGCTCCCGAAATTGGAAGCCCTGGAGCACCTCCGACAGCTCAGAGCTCGATGACGAAGAGGTGCCCCTAGATCCTAGATTTTGGATATCACAGAAAGATCTCCTCTCGCAGAGGAGGAGGAATAGGAGGGGGAGGAGGGGGCGGAGGAGGAGGAGGAGGAAGGAGCAGGAGGAGGACGAGGAGGAGGAGAGGAGTAGGAGAAGGAGGAAGATCTCCTATCGCGGAGGAGGAGGATGTGCATGCTGGAGTACACTGTACTGTGGACGTGCCGTGGCTCGCCTGCCAGGTAATGGGCAAGTACGAGCTCCTCTTCAGGCGCACGAAGGACCTCGAGGAGGGCCACGTGCAGGACACGCCAGTCGTTGAAAGTAGGTATTTCTAGAGTCCCAGATCCCAATCTACTTCAAGCGCCTTCCTACTCCAAGAGTGGATGTGCATCTGCTGTGTTTCGGAGGGCCTGAACCCAATCTACTTGGTCCGCCTTCCTACTTCGTGTTTTTACCCATTTCTTCCGACCGGCGTGGAGACCCTTTTCTGAATGTGACTTGCCGCGCGCTCGCCAGGCCGAAGTCGTCTCGGAGATTCCCTGGGGGCTCTCCTCGTGCACCGCCCTCGCATCTCGCCCTCATCCCGCATCCATTCAGGAGGAGAAGGTACCCCTACCGCTACCCTTGCCTCGTGTTCGCCTTTGGGGGGCCTCCTGGGAGGCCCTCGTCACCACCGCCAGACTCGCCTCGAAATTCTGGTCAGAACGCTTTCTGGAGAGGTCCGGGAAGTAGCGGTATCAGTGCCTTTCGGTTTCCGCATTCGTTTTCTGTCTTGCCATATTTTCTTCTCCCTTCGAGAGGGACGAGGAACTGGATCATGAGGCGGAGCGCGAGGAGAAGGAAGAGGGAGAGGAGGAGGAGATGGAGGATGAGGAGGAGGGGACTGTGCATGGGCGGAGAGTGAGAGGAGGTGAAGAAGCGCTCAGTTGCCTTGTCGCTGGTCGTTGCTGTCTGCACCATGTTATTTCCCATTTCAAAGGCTTCCGTCCGCCTGTCGAGGTCACTAGAGGCGGAGCGCAGGCTTAGCCTGGTGGGGTAAGCCTGCTCTCCGCCTCCTCTGCCTGTCCCATCCTCGCTCGTCCCCGAATGCTGGAAGCTCCAGATCTGGACAACCTCCTGAACGGAGGATGCAGCAAGAGCAGCCTGCTGTTAGTGTGGCTCTGTACGTAGGTCGCCAGTTTGTCCTGTTATCCTCCCTTCCTCCCTCCTTGCCGCTGCGGCCGCTGTTGCTTCTCCACCTTCCGATAGTGTGATGGTGTATTTGATTCGCTCCGACTGGAGCTGCACTCGCGGGGGACTTCCGAGTGCTGGGGCATGACCAGTCTACGTTTCAGACTTCTGGATGGACCGCTGGAGCCATCAAGCTTTGCACACAGCACTTGTCCGATCTGACAGATACGTTTAAAGTGGGAATTCGCATCAGTAGGCTCGTGCTGGCCAATGACTTCGACAGACAGCAGGTCAATTTCGAGCGGCCCGGTCTACCTTCGATTGGAGGCTGGTCCCTGAGGTAGCGCATTCCTCTTCCTCGTCCTCGCCATCACCTCTCTTCCTCCTCGTCCGCTCGCCTGGGCAATAACTGTCACAGGTAGCGCCTTTTGTTTGCGTCGGTTTGTCCAGGGGGGGCACGATTTGTCCGCCCACGCCGGCGCCTGCAGTAAGCAGCAACGAAATCGTGGCGTGGGCCGAACTTGTTTCTGCCCGAGTCCTTGGCCGGAGTTTCGGCCACGTTTGCAGGACAGCTATGCGATGAGCATTGACTGCGTACTGTTCAAAAAGAGCAGAGAGCGTACGCGGCTTTCTGTAGCCAGGACGCGAGGGCGAAGCGAAGAACCTATTGGTTCGGGGAGAACTCCCGTCTACTCGTCTCACCGGCTGGTCCCCTTCCGAGCGAGGGCCATTTTTGGCCCATGGTTCAAATTGTTTATCACTTGGCGTGAGTTGGTTGGTCGAAATCTTCGCCTCACGGTGTCTCCAGTTTGTTGGCAAAGAGATTGTAAGTAACCAGACGTTTTATGAGTGGACGAACGGCCAGTTGAACCATTTCCGTCGTATGACAAAGTGCCGCCCTGACATTTTGCTTATTTGAGTTGACCGAGCCCATGATCTACGATTCGAGCTTCCCCGTTTCTGCGACGGCCGCCATGGAAGAGAACCTTGCCAGACTGCGTGGCCCGATGGCGAACGGTCTATATGCAGCCTTGGGACGGCGGGGTATGTTCCGCCGTTGGGCTCGCGTGTTCGATTACCAGCAGATGTTGTGCGTCATTCTGGAGGACCAGAACGCCAGAATGGATTGGGTTTGTGATCGGATGGCGCAGCATCTCAGCATTGACCGACGAACAGTTCTAGCGAGTGTAGAAGATTCAATTCGTCGTTCGACAGGCTCGAGACGCACCAGCATGTGAAGTCTGGCGAGCAAGCGGTGAAGCTAATGTGGGGCACCATCGCTGAGATCCAGACCATAGGTCATTGGAGTTCGTCCACCGAAGACCAGCGCTCGTCTTATGAATTGTGCAGTCGGTGATTGCGCGCTTTCCTTCCGCCCGTGCTCATCCCTCCCCCTTTGCCCTTTCTCCACCGCATCGCACTCCCTCTCCCGCGCGCTGCGCACGTCCTCGTCCCTCGCCGCCCATCCTCCGCATTCCTTTCACTTTTCTGTTTGTGCGCACCGACAAAGGCCGATACATTGTCGTGACCCCGCAGGTTCACGAGACGTCGCGTCGCGAGTAACGCCATTGTTGCAAAGACCATTGATTTGGCAAACACGCGCCCGCGACCAAACAAAAAACACGACATCCGCTGCTGCTCATTACTAGCAGGATTTGCTGTCGGCTTCGAGGCGGTGGTTGCTCATTTGAGACAGACGGCCGCCTGGCCAACCGCGGCCGCTGTCGGTTAGGGCAACATTTGCAGTTGGGCATCGTAACCACATGTTCCGTACGCGCTGGTCGTTGAAAGTAGGTATTTGTGGATTCCCAGTTCCGAATTTGTTTCAAGCGCCTTTATATTTCAAGTGTCGATATGCTTTTGTTGTGTTTGGTTATTCTTCTGGGAGGGCCTGGACCCAACCTACTTGATCCGCTTCCCTACTTCATGTTATATATGTATGCTTCTTCCGATCGCGGTGTACCCATTTCGGGCGTCCACATTGAAGCACCAGTTGTTCGAAGTCTTGTGGCGCGGAGCGCCATACGAGCAAATGGGGCGGGCGCACGGTGCTCCATGATCGGTGTCGCGAGGACCGCGGCACTCGTGCGGAGTCACGGCCTAGGGGGGGGGGGGCCGCAGGCAGGAAGCAGTTGGCAGGATGCGGAACGGTGGAGGAAGGAGGTCTCCCCCGTCTCGTCCGCGTCCGTCCTCGCTCTCGCCTCGTCTCTCAAGAAAAAACAAAACACGTCCTCGCTTTTCCCGCTGGTCCCTCCTCGTCCTCGCCATCAGCTCCCCATGATGACTGATCCTAGTGTTCCTTCCCTTCTTCGTCCTTGTTTTTTGCCTCCCTCTCTCTGTGTTTCATCCTCTTCGCGCGTTTCCTCCTCGGCCTCGTCCTCGCCCGACACATTATGTACCTCGCCGTCCTCCCCTCCCCTCGCCTTCCTTGTTCCCCTCGTCCTCCTCCATCTTACCCGAGCGCAGCCGTCACAACGGGTGTACTTCAAGCGGTGTGCGCTCGCACCTTGCACGTGCTGCGCTCGCCACCGACAGTTTTTTTGTTTGTTGTTGTTGTTGTTGTTGTTGTTGTTGTTGTTGTTGTTGTTGTTGTTGTTGTTGTTGTTGTTGTTGTTGTTGTTGTTGTGTGTGTGTGTGTGTGTGTGTGTGTGTGTGTGTGTGTTTGTTCGGTGGGGCGGGGACGGACCTCAGGCGTTGATCCCGTCCAGGCGCATCAGGATCACGGAAGACGCATACGGCGAACCACCGCCGCCCCTTGTTTTTTGGAAACGCTTGTGTGGTCATACGGTGGGCCAACGTCCAGCCAAGTTATTGGTCGTTGTTTTCCCCATGGCATTGTGGAAACTCTGATGGGAGACACCTGGGAAGGGGAGAAAAAAGGATGATGAGGAGGACCAGAGCATGCCCAGAATGTATCAGCGATTTTGCAGTACGGTAGGTAGGTTGTTCGCGTCGTGTCGACAGGCGGCGACCCCGCCGCCGATGTTCAACGTTGAACGCCGCCGGCGACCCGGAGTCGCTCGATGTTGAACGATCGGACGTTGCGGGAAGGGCCGATCGTTCAAGGTTGAACGATCTTCGCGGTGTCAGGAACCAACTCCGGGGTCGGCACGACTCGAGTTTGTCGTACATGCTCCTGCCCCAAGACGCCTCCTCACGCGTCCCTGCAAGCTTTCGCTCTCACTAGAAGAAAAACGTTCCCCCCTGGAGAGACCGGCGCCATGCAGGCATCTGCGAAACAACAAGCGCCACGCACATCCGCGGGGTCGCGGCCCAGGGGCGCTGCCCGCGAGGCCGCGGATACGGATCTATTCGTCTTTCGCCCACGGCCACACGGGTTCTCCCCAACGTTGGTTTGCGCGGCGGGGTCTGGCACCTCCCCCTGGGGCTCGTTTCGATTCCTCCGCTTCGATTCGATTCGATTTCGATGACCTCCGATTCCGACTCGATTCGACATGGGCTTCCGATTTTGGTTCCGATTTCTTGTTGGAGGCATACTAGCCTGCCGATGTCTACCGATTCGACTTTTCCCGACTCGGCTGCCGATTTCCGCCGATCCGATTCGTTTCGGTCGCCGATTCGGCTTATCGATTCGAGTCTGGGCTCTCCTGCCCCCACCCCCCCGCGGGCTCCCTGATGCAACACACCACATGGATCAGGCGTGGGGGCTCTTTTTTGGTGGACCACATACAAACGGGGCCCTGAAGAAGGAACCCTTTTCGTTGTGGAAGGGGCTCCGTGTTCCTTAATTGTTTCGCAGCTTGCCTTGGATTTTCTCTAGGTTTTCGATACGAAATCGAAGTTCAACTTATGGAAAATAGGGGCCTCGTTCCTTATTTAGGGTTCCTTAGGTCAACGCCCCGACTGTAGCGTCGATTAGCGTCGATCTCGCGTCGATCCGCAAGAGCCGACACAAGATGGCATGGGTGGCCCCCAGGAGTTGCCACCGAGTTGGGTCCCCTCCCCAAGGCTTGGGGGCTATTTTTTGGTGGTGGACCACATATCGCCGCCGCAGTAGTGGTAGTAGTAGGAGGAGGAGAAAAAGGAGGAGGAGGAGGCGGAGGAGGAGGAGGAGGAGGAGGCGGAGGAGGAGGAGGAGGAGGAGGACGAGGAGGAGATCGCCCCCCCCTCGGCGAAGGAGGTCGCCGCCGCCTACGTCTGCGGCTGCCTCGCCCTGGTGGCGGCCGCCGGGCTCTTCCGCGGAGGCGCCCGCGGCGGGCCCGGGGGGCCCTCCCGGCGCGCTCGGGGGAAGGGCGCCCTCTGCCGCGGGCCCGCGGCGGGGGCGGTCGGGCGGCCGCCCGACGGCTGGAGGAGGAGCGGGCTGGCGAGGAGGAGGAGGAGGAGGAGGAGGAGGAGGAGGAGGAGGAGGGTCCGAGGAGGAACAGGTGCCCATAGCACTGCCCTTCGGCCGTTGTCTCCTTTGTTTGGGCCTCCTGGGAGGCCCTCGCCGCCACCATTGGCTTCGCCCCGGAGTGCTGGTCAGAACGCACCCCTGGAGAGGTCCGGGGGATGGCGGAATCGGTTCCTTTTGGTCTCCCCAGGAGGAGAGGAAAGAGGAGGAGGAGGAGGAGGAGGAGGAAGTTTTTTCGGGTCGTTGAAAGTAAGTAGTTTCGTGGATCCCCCAGATCCCAAAATCTACTTCGAGCGCCCTCCTACTTCACGGATCGATGTGCGTTTGCTGTGTTCTGTTATTCTCGGGAAGGGGCTGAGCCCAGTCTACTTGATCTGCTACTTCATGCGTTGATCTACTCCTTCCGAGCGACGTGTAATTGTCTCGGCCGGCCTGCGCAATGATTTGCCTTCCGTGAGATCCTGGCGTCTCAAATGTTTCCGAGCCAGGCGTTTTCGTCAGGTTTCGGGCCCTGGGGACCCCGCAAGTCGATCATGCTCGAAGAACGGCGCAGAAGGATGCGGTCTAGGGCTCCAGAGGTGACTTTTCGCGATGTCTCAATTGTGTCGCGCCGTCGGATGGCAGGGTCTTCTGAACGGCGCATGCTTGTTGCGTCGGGCCCCCGCTCACGGCACCGCTCCGAACTGGATCCAGAGGTGTGGTCGATTCGGCCACGCCTCCCTGAAGGATCAAGGACCAGGGAGGAGGACAACGACGATCCGGGGCAACGCTCGGGAGGGGGAGGGGGGACTGGCCCAGGGGGCACGACTGGGCTTTGAGGTGTTTGGGGCGTTCTCGGTGACTCTCGGCGGTGCTCCAGCCTCGCGATGCTCCGCCTCGCCGAGAGCCTATCCGGGGCGCCCAGACTGTCCCGAGAGACCGCCCGAGGCCCGAGCAATGGCTTGGAGACCGCTGCGGCCGGGGATAGGCTCAGAAAGAGGGGGGAGGAAAAGGAGGAGGAGGAGGAGGAGGAGAGAGGAGGAAGAGGAGGAGGAGGAGGAGGAGGAGGGGGAAAGGAGGAGAGGAGGAGAGGAGGAGGAGGAGGAGGATGAGGAGGAGGAGGAGGAGGAGGAGGGAGAGGAGGAGGAGGAGGAGGAGAGAGGAGGAGGAGGAGGAGGAGGAGGAGGAGGAGAGGAGGAGGAGGAGGAGAGAGGGGAGGAGGAGGAGGAGGAGGAGGAGGAGGAGGAGGGGAGGAGGAGGAGGAGGAGGAGGAGGAGGTGGAGGGGGAGGAGGAGGAGGAGGAGGAGGAGGATGAGGAGGAGGAGGAGGCGGAGGAGGAGGAGCAGAAATCAGACACCTCCATGTCGCGCTGCCGCTGGGGCCCCATCGGCGTGTCGTTCTTCAGCTCGGTGTCCGAAGGCCTGGCGTTGCCTTTTCCAGAGGTCACGCGCGCATGGGGGGCCCACGGTAATTATTGTCCCTGCCCCTCCAGAGGAGGATCAGGAGCAACGTCAGGGGGGGATCTCTGCTGAGGGCGGGGCGCATCTATCCCCAGTCGCCCACTCTGCTTTTGTTTGTTTTGTTTTGTTCTAGATGAGCGCGGTGTTTCTTTGTGGCTGTTCCGGCTGTGTATGTTTTTGTTCCTGGCAAGTTCCCCCCTTTTTGTTATCTTCTCCCCAAGAGAAGTCGAATGATAATTGTTCCCCACGCTCCCCCATCTCGCAACAGACCCTGCGACGCCTCCCCCTCTCCCCCCCCCTTCTCTCCACCCCTTTCTCGCGCCCACGGTAGCCCCTGGGGAAGCAAAAAACACCCAGGCCCATGGCCGATATATTGGCGATGCATCCCCGATGCCAGCTATAGATGCTTGCCCCCCTGGGCCAGTCTCCCCCCTTTTCCCTCCCCTCTAAGAGAAGGCGCCTCTGAAGCGTTTATGGCCCTTGACATCGTGACCGCGGGCCGAACAGATCATAACACCGCGCCAAGAGAGAACTCCCAGACGACCCCCAAGCTCGCCAGGCTTGACATCCCGAGCGTCGTCGTCTTGCTTTGATATCCTTTTCCCCCAACTTGTTCTGCATCGGCGAGTCGGGGTTAATTCTCGTCGTCGGCGTTGTTGTCGATGGTGGTTGTTTCTCCTTGTCCCCCAACCCTGTCTTATAACGAGTGAAGGTTAGGTGTAATGTTCTGACCGCACGACTGGACTTCCCAGCCGTCATCGGCGTGTTTCTCCAGGATATGTTCTTCAAGTCTTGTTGATCTGCGAGTGAGGATTTACTGCATGTGGGGGCCCGCCCTCCAGTCCGTCTTACTGTCCATCCCACCCGTCGTCATTGCTCTCACCACCGTCGTCCGATCGCCCCTTGTCATCATTGTCCCTGTCGTCGGTGGCGTTGTGCTTCTTCCTCCAGCCTTGTCCGATCACGGAGTGAGGGTTCTATTTACCTGCCCGCCCGACTGAACGCCCCGCCCGTCGTCGTTTTGGTTGCCATCCTCAGTTGCTTCTCTTTTCCCGAACCTTGCCCTGTCACGAGTGAGGGGTACATTCGGTGCCTCGCCCGCCAGCCCGACTCAAGGTTCGGTCCGCCCGTCGTTGTCGTCGTCGTCGTCGTCGCTGTCGTCGGTGGTTTGTATGTCGTCCCAATCTTGCTCCATGAGGGAGTGAGGGTTACATTCGTTGTTCCGCTCGCCCGCCCGACCTGAAGGTCCCGCCTGTCATGGACGCCGTCGCCGCCGCCGCCGTCGTCGCCGTCGTCTTCGTCGTCGTCGTTGGCGTCGACGCCGTCGTCGTAGACTTACGTCGGCCTGTCCCTCTACAGGAGGAACATTCAGAAGTAGTTAAGACATGCTCTGGCGACGATTTGTGGAGTATCTGTTTGACTATTTGGAGCCGTTTTTTGAATACGTTTTATTTGTCCTCAACCCGCCTGTAAGGGCCACTGTAGGGGGACATGCCCGACCTAACCGTAGACGCCGTCGTCGTCTTTGCTGTCGCAGGTGGCCTCTTTCGTTTTCTGCTTCTTGGCGAGGAAGCAGCCCCGGGAGCGGAGAGCACCACCCTCGACCTCCACACCCAAACCGGAGGGTTTCTCCGAAGGGCTTAGGCGACCCGTTCTCCTCCTCCTCCTCCTCCTCCTCCTCCTCCTCCTCCTCCTCCTCCTCCCCCTCCTCCCTCCTCCTCCTCCTCCCTCCTCCTCCTCCTCCTCCTCCTTTTCCTCCTCCTCCCTCCTCCTCCTCCTCCTCCTCCTCCTCCTCCTCCTCCTCCTCCTCCTCCTCCTCCTCGGGTCACCTACGGCCCCGGGGGAAACCGTGCGCCCCAAACCACCCGATCCTCGTACTGGCCAGCCACTGTCGAGGACTGCCGCCACAGAGCCTCAGAGCAGCACGAGCCCGTGTCCGCGCGCGTTCCGCAGGATGTTGCTCTAGCTGCGGGGGGAAGCGGAGAAAACAAAGAACATGACACCAGAGAAGAACCCCAATCAGTGGATGGTTTAAGGAGATCGACCGGGAACCCGGGAACCCAGAACCCACAGAGATCGGCCCAGAATTAAGCAGGAACCTGGAACCGGGAACCCGGGAACCCAGCCGGCCACCAAAATCGGCGGGAAATTTTCGCCAAATCTTTCATTTTCCGTTAGGACCCTTTCAGTGCAAGCACTGATGGGGGAAAAACAAGAAATAAAACACGATCTCGACCCTCCCCGATCCTCGACCCTCGAGCCTCGATCTTCGATCCTCGACCCATTTTTACAGAGGGGAAGGGCAACTGCCCCGCCCGCCCGCGCCCAGTCGGCGGGGTGCCTCACACGTGGCGCGGGCTCGGGCGAGGACACCTCCGTTCCACAGCGTCCCGGCACGCTTTCATAGAGCTCTGAGAAGGCCGCGGCGCCCGAAGCATTCTCCATAGCCGCCGGATCCCAGAGATCCCCATCCTCACCGGATTCAAAGACGAACAAACGCCATAAACATAAACGTTTGGCGCTCCGGATTTCTTGGATCAGCGCCGGGGCCCCCCTGGCGGCGCCTCCGGCGCCGCCCCTGGCGCGCTCCGCGCGCCAGGGAGGGGGGTCCAGCGCAGATCAAAGAAATCCGCGCGGACCGTCGAGAGTTAATGTTTACGCCGTTTTCTCCTCCTCTGAGAAGAAGACGCCGAGGCCGTGCTTCCCTGGACGTGGCATCGCTCGGACACATATGCATTATGTCTCGGCGAGGACGTTCGGGGAGCATTGGAGGTCATCGCGGGAGAAAAAGAATGAGCGCAGGACATCGACAAATGCACTGGAAACGGGCGTCCGAGCAATGGTACGCGCGGGCATGCACGGACGAGCAAGAAGACGCCGAGGTCGTTCTTACTTGGACTTCAGGCCGCTCCTGGATTCTGGAGGGTCGAAATGGGCACCAGTCGGTAGTTGAAAGTAGGTATGCTTGTGGATTCCCATATCCCAGTCTACCTCGAGCGCATTCCTATCTCAAGAATCGGTCTGCTCTCTCTGTGTTTTGTTACTCTCTGGGAGGGCCTGAGCCCAATCTACTTTATCCGCCTTTCTACGAATGTTTTACCTACTTCTTCCGACCGACGTGTACGGGAATAATTGGTACACATGCCGACAGCAGTTGCTGTCCGTTTTGAACAGAGTTTTCTGTCGATGGCGCCGTGGGTGTTGTCCATTTGAGACAGAGGACCGCCTGCCCAACAGCGGCCGCCGTCGGTCTTGGACGCAATTGTTGTTGGGCATCGTGCCTATTTTTCCGTATCCATTTCGGGCGTCCAAATGGGTGCGTTTTGGCCAGGTTCTCGGGCCGAGTATGGTCGTGGCGTCGAGTGGTGGGTAGCGGTATCGGCAAACTTGAGAGATTTACGCCATTCCGCCGACCCTGGAAGACGAGATGTCCGACTTCAGATTGAGCGTGTGTGTGTTGTTTGCTGTGTCCTGTCGAGCTTCCTGCGTGTTGTTTTTTCTTGCTTCGCCCACTCTTCCTCCGCGGCTGCTGCGGGGCCTCTTGCGGGCCTCCTGGAGTTCTCGGGCTCCAGATTGATTTACTTCGACAGTCCGGCTAATACAGTAGGCGCATCAAATATGGCATCGACCATCCAGCAGGTGCCTCATGTACATTCCCCCCCCCGAAAAGCCCAGGGGCTCGCAGAAGCTCAGGTGCACTTGAGGACCTTCAGAGATCGACGAAGAATGTGCCCCAAGACTTGGTATCACAAGGCGTCTAGTGTCCGAAGCTGACCTGGATGTCGCGGGATCTTGCCGGCGCCGGTCTTGATCATGGTCCACGCCAGCCGTCGCCCTTTTCGTGAGGGCAGCTCGCGAATTCACGGTCGCCAAGATGGACGGTGACCAAGATCGACACCGACATCTCCTCGCCCAGACTCGGTAATGGTCACCGCAGCCTGTCCCTCCACCGTGGGCCTCTTGGAGGCCCCGGGCTCTGAATCCATGTACCATGGCAGTCCAGTTGGCAGCCAGTCAGAAGCCCCGCGCAGGCTGAGCATGCAGTGCTAATCGAGAACCCGTCTGGAACAGGCGAAAGCAGCGCAGGTGATCTTCTGCAGCAGAGTCTGGAGAGCCGAAGGACCCTCTTGGTAACAAACCGCCGGGCGTTTTTGCTGCTGGCTCCGACCGTTCGGTTTCCGGCCAACCAGAGCAGAGAACAGTCATCGGCGGCCAAACTCAGAAAAAACTAGCAGCACAAAGCGGGGCCGAAGCGAACGCGACGCGACCGAGGATCCCACAATGGATACATGCATATCTATAGATGTGTATATATATATATACATATGTATACATAGAGATCGCCATGTAAAGACCGTCCGCTGATTTTTGCAAAACAGAATAGACAGCATACGCTAAGCTTCCCCCCCCCCTGCCAGCGCAGCGCCTGGCCGCGCCGCGGGACCGGGACGCCGCCTGGCGCCCGCGCGGGGAGCCGCCGCAGGAGCTCCCGGAGACGCGGCGGCCCCTGGTGGGGGGCCCGCAGGCCCCCCCGCCCGTCCCCGTCGCGCGGCGGGGGGCCGTCCCCTGCTACCCGCGTCGAAATGAACCTCAAAAGTTGCTGGCACGTCATTTCGAGTTCGGCGCGCCCCTCAATGTCGACACGCCCCTTCAATGTCGGGGCGAGGGCAAAGATAGTCTGACCGAAGTTGACTCGAAAGTTTGACGTCGACCGACATTGGAGGGGCGGCGCATGCAAGTACCCCGCACTCATCGATACTCGGCCCCAGATCTTCTGACAAGCAGTTCAACCACGTCAGACATTTTTGAGGTTAATTTTGATGAGGGTTGTAGAGATCCGACGCTCCGACAAGAAATGGAGCCGGCGTTCCCTGAGATCGTGGCGCTGCAAGGTTCTGCAGTGGGGGTTGTCATCCACTTTCGGGCCCTGGGACCCTCAGAGGTCGATCCGGCTCGAAAGAGGTTGCAGAAAGATGGGGTCCAGGTCTCCGGTTGCGATGTTCTGTGATGTTGGCAATTTTCGTTGTGTCCTCGGTTGTGGTTTTTGGGCCGTTTTCGGCCTCCGGGGGCCCTCGCAGGGCCGCGGGAGCGTCAAACGACAATGCAGGACCAGAAGCCAAGTGATCTGGACTTCTGAGGCCCACGCGTATAAAAGATTGGAGCAGTCAGATGTGTGGGTCTTTCTCACGCAGACACCCTCCAGTGGATTGCTCCTAGATGCCTGATGGGGAGGGCGGCGGTGTATAAGCCACCTTCAACAACAGCCGACGACTTCATTCACTGTCACCCTCCCTTGAAGGCACGAGTATCGCTCGTCGGCGGGTGTTTGTGTACATATTGTAATGGCCTCTGGCCCGTGCCGCCGATCCGGGGCGCTCCGAGTGTTGTGATTCGACTCTCCCTCCTTTTCTTCCTTCCTCACTCCCTCCCTTCTTCCCTCCCTCCCTCCTCACCTCCATCCCTCCCCCCCTCCCCCCCCCCACAATGCGTCCCCTCCCTCCTCCCCCCGCCCTCCGTCCCCACCACCCTCCCCCCTTTCCCCCCTCTCCCCCTCTCCCCCCTCTCCCCCCCCTTTATCCCTCCCGTAGCGCCTTGCATGACGCACGAGGTATCGAGCTGCCTGCGGCAAGTCCCCGATTGTGCCAGTCGAGCCTTCTCGGTGGCAGTTGCTCCAATCCCTGAGGATGGTGATGGCGATGGATGGTGATGAAGGTGGTGTTGATGACGAGGATGATGATGATGAGTTTGATGATGATGATGACATTGCTGATGATGCTGAAGCTGAAGCTAAAGCTGAAGCTGATGCTGCTGATGATGATAATGATGATGATGATGATGCTGATGATGATGATGATGATGATGATGATGATGATGATGATGATGATGATGATGATGCAGGTGGTGATGATGATGATGATGATGATGACGATGGTTATGATAATGATGAAGATGATGATGTTGATGATGATGGTGGCCATGACGATGACGATGGGAAAATCAGGAGGAGGAGAGGATGGGGAGGATCGTGGTGACCAGGGGCATGCATATCATGGTAATGCTGGTGGTCATAATGGTAAGGAGGAGGAGGACGAGGATTATGGTGATGATGCTTAGGAGGAGGAGGAGGAGGAGGAGGAGGAGGAGGAAGAGGAGGAGGAGGACGAGGCGGATTCAGTGTTGTGGGCCTGTAGCCATCAAGGTCCAAGCTTTTTCTAAGCTTTAGTTTGAAGTCGGTATTCCCATGGCGGTGGAGAAGGGGAAGGCGCCGGCGAAACGAAAGCCACAGCAGCCTCCAGCAGCAACGCGGTGGAGGAGGAGACCGAGGGCGGCACAGCTGCGACTCGGGGCCGCTCGTAGTGAACGAGAAGGCTGGACTGGCCAAGCCCATACATGAGTTGAAAGCGCATCTGCGTGCCTCCCTCGTAGGGCACTTGGAAGTATTGCATCTCGTTGCAAAACATGCGGGGCTAAAGCGGACAAGCGAGGCTGAGTAGGCACTGGCACGGTACACTAACATTACGTATTGCTGCCAGGTGACGACGGGGAGGGGAAGCTTGAAGCAGATCGGAATCGATTGGTCCACAGTTTTCTTGCAAGCTTGGAACACCTAGAACAATGAACAGCTGCAGCGGGTGTCGCCAGGCAGGCTTTGCAGATGAAGAACGTGTCGAGGGTGTTGCGGGGCCCTGGTGAAACAGCGAAACAGCTCCGGAAGATCTCGCCGAGAAATTTCGGAAGCGAAGGCAGTTGGCTTGGATAAGGCGAAGTATGTTTAATCTTGGAAGGACAGCGTCGCGAAGGCTCGGGCCGACTGAGGCTTGCCAGTCAGCGCGAGCTTTGCGAAAAGGACACATTTGCACAAGAAGGCGACGGAGTTCCAAGACGCAGCGAAGGGGCGCGCTCGTGCGTGTGACAGTCGAGGTCCCGAGCACACGGTTGTCGGGACACCGCCCTGACGGAAGGAGCGACACCCGCGCTCGCAAGCATGCGCCCGAGATCGCGTCGCGGTGTAGATAGCGCTTCTGTCTCTGCAAAGCACAAGAGAGCCTGCTGCGCATCCAGCCCAGGGGGGCATTCTCCGGCATATGCAGAGTGCCCTTCTCCAAATTCTATCACAACCCTCGGCCGGCATCCAGCCCGTCTACAGCGGGCTTCTACTTACAAGGTACATCTCATCCAGCCCAGGAGGCCGCCGCCCCTCCAGCTCATCTACCGGGGGCCCTTCCTCAAACATTGCAAACTCCGACTGCCGGCATTTAGCCCCCCCCCCCTCCCCCTTATTGAACCCCCTCCCCAGCAGAGCTAGAGCTCAGACTGAAGGGCAGCTTCAGCCTGGGCTCCTCAAACTCAAGCGCCGGATCGGCGGATTTCCGTGGCGTAGTGTTCGGAGGTGGATAGACCTCCTACCTTGACACGTCGATCCAGGAAGTGGCCGTTTCCGGTTCGCGAGAGGGCGTCGCGGCCGTCATTTTTGCGGGTCCTGGTCCGTCGGTTTCGGTCCTAGGCAGTTTTCACCAAGGGGAGGTTTATTAAAGGGAGGTCTGTCCACCGCCGAAGTGTATTCGCCCTCCGTCCCGCCTCCGATTCCCGCTTCCACGGTCGCCTCTCCGACTCAGGCTCCCGTGCCTGCGGCTTCGGCTCCCGCGCCTCCGGCCCCGGCCCCGGAGCGGAGCGCCGCGCCCCCAGATCCTCGACGTCGTGGTGTTTTCTGGGCGAACCCCTCCGAAGTGTGGACCCCTTGAATAGTTTCAGGACGTGACCCTCAGAAACTTCAGGACGTAACCCTCAGAAGCTTCAGGACGTAACCCTCAGAAGCTTCAGGGCGTAACCCTCAGAAGTTTGGACCCCTTCCCGGGGGACTGGTTGATCATCCTGAGCAGTTTGGGACGGCCCCGAGGCCCGGGAAGGGCCCCCAGCGGCCTAGCGAGAAACCTCCCGTCGTGAGTTTTTTGTGTTTTTCACGGTGCGAGCAGGTCTGCGTCTCCAGCCTGTTTTGCCGACTCCAGTCCGCACAGTGCAAACTCCAGGCGACGCTCGGCAATGCCGCGGCGTGGCCCTCTTCCGGGCCCCGGCCCCATGAGCGGAGTGCCATGCGTCCAGCGCGTCGTCCCGACTCCAGCTCGCAGACACCGGGGACCCATGCCAGGAAACACCCTGCGTGCCTCCAGGGTACCCTGGGCTTCCTGGGTTTCGATCGTCTTGCTATGGAAAGCGCGACGCTGCCACACCAGAAGGCAATGGACGTCCTTTCTTGCGGAAGGCTTCTCGTGGTCGAGCTCCTACCGTTGAACAGCAGTTCCGGGTGCAGCCCGGTCGTGCCGCAGCCTCGCCCTCTTCCGGGCCCCGGCCCGCCCGCGCGGCCCTCGTGGGGACCGTTGGACCGGCGGTGCGCCCTCCGCTCCCGCCTCCCGCCGCCCTTCTCCTCCGCGCCTTCCTTCCGTCGGGGGCGGTCCATAGCCCAGACCTGCGAGGTCAGAGCGGCGTCCCTGGAAGTCCAGACCCTTCCCCAGGACCGGCTGTTCATCCTGAGTCGTCTTTTTGACGGTCCCGATGCCTGGCGAGGGCCCCCCAAGGCCGAAAACGGCCAGAAATTTCCCGTCCAGATTTTTGCACGACGCGATCATGTCTGGAAGGGGATATCATGGCGGGGGCCATGATATCTCCCCAGACCCCTTCGGGCTATTTCGGGCTGTGAGCAAAATCGCGACGGAAGGTTTTTTGTGTTATTTTCGACCTCCCGGGGCCTTCGCCGGGGCCTCGGGACCGTCAATGAAAAAGACGCATGATGAAGAACCAGTCCCTGGGGAGGGGTCCAAACTATTGAGGATCATGCCATGAAACAAACATGGCGTCGGGGGTCTGGGTCCCCAGATTTCATGGCGTCTTTTCTTTTTCCAATACGTCCCCGGCCGGCCCTTGGGCCGCGCACGTGCCGCCGGCCATGATTTGCGCCCCCCCTTGGACGGCCTTTTTGGACGCCCCCGATTCCGAGACGGGGATTTATCTATAACAACCGCCTGGGGGATCGATCTTCGGGGACCTCGGCGGGAGGTGGGTTCGGATCTGTTCGAGCCCCCCGGGAACAACATGTATTCATATCCACCGCCCGCTGGGGTCCCAGGACGTCGGTTCCCCGAGCGGTGGGTGTGGACAAACCCGAGGCTCGCACTCCTGCTCCTGCTCCTCCTCCTCCTCGTCGCCCTCCTCGTCCTAATCCTCTTCGCCTTCCCTTTCCTACGGAGACTGGCCCGACTGAAGGATAGCTGTGCTTCCCGTCCCGCCCCCTGGCGCCCGACCTCTTGAGGTCGGCTTTCGGGGAGCCCTGCTACCTCGAGGGGCCCAGGCCCGCATTCGGGCATTCACAAAACGAATGGCGGGAGGTGTGCTGCTATGTTCGCAGGCCCAGAGATTCACACCCACACCAATTTCGGCGGTGTGCCTCCACCGAGGGAAGAAGCTCCCGATCTCGGGGATGGTTGGTACTATTCTGGCTGCCAAGGTGGCCGAACTATTACCACCAACACCGAACATCTAGGATCATCTTCCCCCTGTGGAGGCGGCCCCGTGTCTTGGTGTTGGTGTCAATGTCCAGGCCACCGATGATTCTTGCCTCTGGGGGCCCTTACGGGCCCTCGGGACCGTCCACAAAACGACCTGGGATGACAAGCCGGTCCAAGGGAATGGGTCGAGACCTCCAGGGGTCGACGTTACAACACAAATCATGACGCCCGGGGTCTGGGAGTACCGTGGAGACCCGTGCCAGGAGACAGCCTGCGTGCCTCCAGGGTGCCCTGGGCTTCTTCGCTTTCACTGTGGTTTTGCTATGGAAATCGTGGCGTTCCCACACCAAAAATCCACGGACGTCCTGGGGTCTCAGGGATGGGTTTCTTGTGGCAGGTTTCTTGTGGACTGGCCTCCATTGTACCCCGAGCCCCCACAAGCGGCATTCACGAAACAGCCCTGCCCTGCTCGATTCCCGTCCCTGGGAGCGTCTGCGAGAGGCCTCGCTCGTCAGGATGGTTAACAGCATGAGGGCGGCGTTGTTCTGCCCTCTACGAGCCTGTTGTTTACATATTCCAGCAAGTTTACTTGCATGGGCGGGGCGGGGGGCCTGCACCTGAAGCAAGCCTCAAACGACTTGCACGTGCGGAAACCACGCAAGTCGAAAGGCACTTGCACGCTCGTGTTCGTTTGCGGGGGGCGAAGGGGGGGTGAGGAGGAGGAGGAGGAGGAGAAAGGGGAGGAGGAGGAGGAGGACGAGGAGGACGAGGAGGAGTAAACGGAGGACGAGGAGGAGGAGGAAAAGGAAAAGGAGGAAAAAGAGGAGGAGGAAGAGGAGGAGGAGGACGAGGAGGAGGAGGGGGGGGGGCGAGCGCCATTCAAGCAAACTCGCCCGAACCTCCCAAAAACAGGCTCGGCTTCCCCGGCCCCGCCGCCCTCAGGTGCACGGCCCCCCTGGGCGGCACGCTGACCCCCCGCTCCCAGGGGGGAAGCTCGGGCGGGCGGTCCTAGGCCTCCCAGATGGTGTCGGAGCAGATGGGGTCGGAGGATCGCGCCGCATCGCCGATGCATCGACGATGCGGCTCGATGTGGCGATGTGTTTCCCCGCGCCGATGTCGGCGATGCACCGCCGATGCATTGCCGGTGCATCGCCGATACATCGGCGATGCATGGGCGATGCAGCGCGATCCCTCGACCCCATCTACTCGAATCCCACCTAGGAGGCCTCTGGTGGTATTTGGGGGTGGCTGACCTACATTGAAGTCGGGCATGTCCCTCGACAGGAGGAATCTTCAAACATGGTCCAAAAGTAATATGCATGTGGACGATTTTCCGACTATGTTTGACCGTTGTTGTTGGGTATGTTTTGACGATGTTTCATTTCTCGTCCAAGTCCGCCTGTCGGAGGACATGCCCGACCTAAATGAGGGGTGAAGGTCCGAAAGGGGCCCTTTAGGGCCCCTTTTGGAACCAGCATGCAGGGGCCCGAAAGGGCTCCTTTCGGGGCACTGTTCTGCACCCTCCTTTTTTAGGCCACCCCCTATTACCACTCGCCTGGGAAGGGGTCAGGACCTCTGGTCGGCGGTGAGCCGGGGGGGAAGTGAGAAGGGGCGGGCCTTCTCAGAAGGCTCTGAGAAGTTTTCGAAGCCTTCCCTATCCATAGACACAACAAAGCCTCTCAGGCCAGAGGGCTTCTGAGCAGCCCCGCCGCCTTCTGAAAAGGCCTCTTCCTTCTCACTCGCCCCCCCTTGCTCGCCGCCGAGTCAGGATTATGTCGGGCGTGTCTTTCTAAAGGGGGTATGGTAAACAATTAATTAAACATAGTTTCGGGACGATGTTCTACTATTCTTGCATATTTAATCGCTTCGCTCATTCCGCCGGCCCATAATGTCGCACCGTGGTCGCCTGTCCGAGTGGTCGTTTGCAGTGTGGAGCTGCGGCGTCGGGAGCTGTGTAGTGTTGGGGGCGTTCTTGGGGCCCTCTTGGGCCGTCCTGGAGGCCTCTGGGGCCGTCTTGGAGCCGTCTTGGGCCGTCTTGGGGCCCTCTTGGGGGCCTTTTGGGCCCTCTTGGGGCGATCTTGGAGGCCTCTTGAGCCGTTTAGGGGCGTCGGGGAACCGAAAAGGTTAAAACGCCCAAATCTGTCCAACACCAAAGGAAAAGCACAGGTTTTTGCCTCTTGGGGCCCTCTTGGGAGTTCTCTTGGAGGCCTCTTGGGGCATCTCGGAGGCTTCTTGGGCCATCTTGGAGACGTCTTGGGCCGTCCGGAGGCCATCTTGGGCGTCGTGGAGCGATCTTCGGGCGTCTCGGACCTCTCTTGGACCGTGTTGGGGGCGTTCTTGGGGCCCTCTTGGGCCGTCTTGGAGGCCTCTGGGGCCGTCTTGGAGCCGTCTTGGGCCGTCTTGGGGCCCTCTTGGGGGCCTCTTGGGCCCTCTTGGGGCGATCTTGGAGGCCTCTTGAGCCGTTTAGGGGCGTCGGGGAACCGAAAAGGTTGAAACGCCCAAATCTGTCCAAAACCTAAGAAAAGCATTGATTTTTGCCTCTTGGGGCCCTCTTGGGAGTGCTCCTGGAGGCCTCTTGGGGCATCTTGGAGGCTTGTTGGGCCATCTTGGAGACGTCTTGGGCCGTCTGGAGGCCATCTTGAGCGCCGTGGAGCGATCTTCGGGCGTCTCGGACCTCTCTTGGATTGTGTTGGGGGCCTCTTGGGGCCCTCTTGGGGCGATCCTGGAGGATCTGGGGGAGTGTCCCGGGCACCGCCCGGGGTACTTTTGATCCAGGGACCCCCAGGGGCCGCCCCGCGCGCGCGAACTAGAAATACTGTTTACCAGTTACCGGAGATCTTAGCACGCCTCTGGCCCGTTGGGCCAGCGAATTTATCATACTTGTGACTGTTTTAGATTTACCGTGCAAAATCCGCCTGTAGGGGGACATGCCCGACCTAACATTACCACCCGCTCGACCCAGACCCCCGACGTCAGGAGCTTTTCCATGGCGTCGACCCCCAGAGGTCTCGATCCCACGGGACCGGCCAGTTTCTGACGTTCCCGAGGCCCGGGAGAGGCTCCCATGAGGCCGCACATGGCGATAAGCCTCCCGTCGTGATTTTCTCACAGCGCGGGGGGGGTCTGAGGAGAAGGGGTCGGAGCCTCTGGGCCTTTGGGGCCGCGAAGGGGCACGGTGTGTACAGTGCCGGCTTCTCGGGGGTGGTGACGCCTCGCGGCACGAGCCAGGGGGGGAGGGCGGGAGCGGCCATGGGGCACGGCCCCCTGGGCGGCGCACTGCCCGCCCCTCCCCTTCGGCTATAAATGGGGGGTTGGGGGGGGGCATCGAGGGCTGCCGAGAAGGGGCCGTTTGGGGTCCCTGACTGGGTCTTTTCGGACCCAGAAGGGGGGCGGGGGCATCCCTGGGACCCGAAAAAGGGTACCTTTTTTCCTGCCCAGTTTACCGCCCCCCCTCGTTCATTCGCGCCCACCCCCCAGGACAGGGGTCGGAACTACTGGGCCCCTGGGATCGCGGAGGGAAGCCGAGAGGCACAGCGGAGGCGTCTCCGGGGGGGGGGGGGGCCCGAGGGGGAGAGTCTGAGAGGGCTTCCTGAGGCGCTTGGAGCTCCTCCTCCCCCCCCTCCTCCTTTTTCCCCTCCTCCTGCTCCTCCTCCTCCTCCCCCTCCTCCTGCTCCTCCTCCTCCTCCTCCCCTCCCTCCTCCTCCTCCTCCTCCTCCTTCCCCTCCTCCCCCTCCCCTCCTCCCCCTCCTCCCCCTTCCCCTCCTCCCCTCTCCTCCTCCTCCTCGTCCTCCTCCTCCTCCTCCCCGCAAGCGTCCGTCCTTGCGGCCTATGGGCTCCTAGAATCAGAGCTGCCGAGGGTGCTGGAACTCGGGCAGCGAAGGGCCTCGGGGAGATCAGACAACGGTTTTGAGTCCTCCGACGGCGAGCTCTTCTGATTTCGTCACCCGCCTTCATGGCCGTCCACCACGACCTCCTCCTCCTCCTCCTCCTCCTCCTCCTCCTCCTCCACCTCCTCCTCCTCCTCCTCCTCCTCCTCCCCCTCTTCCTCCTTCTCCCCTCCCCTCCTCCTCCTCCTCCTCCTCCTCCGCCTCCTCCCCCCCCCCCTCCCCTCCCCCCTCCCCCCTCTCCTCCTCCTCCTCCTCCTCCTCCTCCTCCTCCTCCTCCTCCTCCTCCCGCCCTTCCTCCTCCTCTCCTCTCCTCCTCCTCCTCCTCCTCCTCCTCCGCCTCCGCCTCCGCCTCCGCCTCCTCCTCCTCCTCCTCCTCCTCCTCCCCTCCTCTCCTCCTCGTCCGCCTCCGCCTCCGCTCCTCCTCCTCCTCCTCCTCCGCCTCTCCTCCTCCTCCTCCTCTCCTCCTCCTCCTCCTCCTCCTCCTCCTTCTCCTCCTCCTCCTCCTCCTCCTCCTCGTGGCCGCCCACGCCTGGTGACGAGTGCACTACGGTCCCCTATGGCCGTGCCCTCGCCCCTGTCACACGGATCCGATCCCTTGTAAAAACGTGCATCGTGGTACCCATGACCGTATTCTCACCTTTTGTCAAGCGGCTGCGATCCCTTGTATAGCAATATCCTGCGGTACCCATGGCCGTGCTCTCACCCCGGTCAAACGGCCACGATCCCCTGTAAAACATCATCTTGCGGTGCACATGGCTGGCCGTGCTCTCGCCCCAATCGTGCCCACGAATTCTTCGGAACGCCTAGAGGTGCACGTTTCCACTGGCCGACGTGCTGGCTGCACTGGCCTTCCCCCTCCTTGCGTTGCGCGCGCAGGGTTGCGCGGAGTGAGCTTCCACCCGGACATGCCCCTGCGTGCCCCTCAGCGTTGTCACCGTCGTCGTCTTCGCCGTCCTGGAGTAGGAGAGGCAGGGGAAGAGCGGTATAGGAGCGAGAGGGGGGAGGGACGAGGGGGAGGAGGAGGTGGGCAAGGAGGGGAAACGGGATGGAGGGGAGGAGGACGGGGAGGGACCGTAGGATGGGGAGGATGAGAACAAGGAGGAGGAGAAGAAGGAGAAGCATTCCAGGAGGAAGAGGGATAAAGGAGGAGGAGGAGGAGGAGGAGGAGCAGGAAGAATAGGAGGAGAGTGAGGAGGCGGACGGAATGGATAGGAGTAGCCGGAGGAAGGATGACAGGGGAACAGACGTGTCGAGTGAGAGGAAAGAGACGAACTGAAGATGAGGTGGCCGAGAAGGAGGCGGCGGAACGGAACGGAAGGAATGGGGAATGGGAGGAGAAGGAGCAGGACGAAGATGAGGAGGATTTGGAGAATGATGAGAAAAAGGAGAAGCAGTAATTAGGTGGATGAGGGGGAAGAGGAAGCAGGATGATAAGGATGATGTTCCAGCATGAGCAGCAAAAGCAGGAGGTGCAACATCATGAGTAGTATTCAAGGAAGGAGATCGAGAAGGACGAGAACGAGGAGCAGGATTCCGACACCGACGATGAAGACAGCATAGAGGATGAGTGTGATGATACGGTGTTCGTGGGATCCGCGATGTGTCAGCGCACCGGTTTAGAACAACACTGTGTGTGTGTGGTTTGATGTCCTCCTGCTTCCTCAGCAGGCAGTTTCGGTACGTGTTTAGGGATGGGAGATCATGCTCCTCGTTGCGTGTGTGCGTGTGCGTGTGCGTCTATGGTCGCCTATCTGCACTCCATCCCTTCTGCGTTTGCTTTTGTGCATCGTGCCGTTTGCCAGCCCGATGCGCAGAGGTGCAGCGGAGCAGCGAGGACCCGCCAGGCTGTTGGAGCGAGCGGTACGGCATGTGAGCCACGGCATTGGAATTCGACGGGCGGGGCCCCTCTTGCAGCATCGTCGCAGCGCCTGTTCGAAACGCGTGCGTGCTGATACCCCTCTCGCCGCAGCTTCCCTCGGACCCCGAGGCCCTCGGGGGAACCTCGCTCTGCAGGGGTCTTCGCAGATCCGTCTCGCTCCACGCTTCTCCGGAGCCTCCCGTGCTCTCCAGTCTTCCATCGGGATGCGTCCCGTGTCCACCACACGCACAGAAGAACCGTGAGGCCTTTGAGAAGCTCCTGTGGTCTCTCTCCGACTCCTGGCAGGCCCATCCAGGAACCGTGAGGCTCAGCAGCGCCTCGGTGCACACACTGGCCCAATTCGAACAACGTTCTCGGGCCAGAAGGCGGCTTCTCTGGTACGCTCCGCTGCCAGGTTTTACAGGACAACCCATTAAGAGGACATAATGCGTTGCTTATTTCGAATATATGTTTATAAGTTTATTTCAAAATCCGCCTGTAGGAGGACATGCCCGACCTGGGGAGAGATGCAAGCTCGCCCTCGGCGGCTGCCGGCCCCAAGGCCAGGGGGGAAGCCGTGCGGGAGTACAGTCCTCGGCATCGCTCGGGCGTGTGCATCTTGTCCTCGTTATCCTGGAGAAAATACAGACCTTCACGCTCCAGGCTGCAGGAGGATGAGGAGGAGGAGAAGCAGGATGAGGAGGAGGAAGAGGAGGAGAAGGAGGAGACGGAGGAGGAGGAGCTTGGTACGTTGGAAGGAGGAGAAGGCGAAGGAGGAGAAGGAGGAGAAGGAGGGGGGGCCATCGAGGAGCATCTTTGGTCATCTTGCTGCAAACCGAGCGATGGACGGTCAAGACGTTGACACGAGGGCCGTTGTGGGCTCAGGAGCGGCCAGGGCTTTCGGGCCGTCCTTCCGATGCATGTCGTGGGGGCTGTTGGTGGCCCAGGCCCGCCATGGCCGGAACAGCCCCATGCGTCCCTTCTCGTGCGTTCCTCATGGCTGCACCATGGCTATACCGCGAGGGCTGCTTTGCTAGCGGGACTCGGCGTGAGTACAGTCGAGGCCGATAGGATGGTCAACCTTGCCGGGGGGTACCCGTGCGTCCTTGTCTCCAGGATCCATCCTTCACCTCTCTCGATGGCCGCGCCCCGCCCAAAAAGCTTCGACACGGGCGTCCACGCGGCTCTCAAGGGAGGCAAAACCACCCGGACCCGACGATTGGCGTTTGCCAAGCGGCCTTGGTCGTTTACTGAACAGCCCTGCCCTGTTCGATTCCTCCCCTGAGTGCGTTCACCAAACGGCTTCGCTTGTCGGGGTGATTGTTATGGGGATGGGTTATCTGCCCTCTATCCTGGCGCCTCCTTCCTATCATTAAGTCGGGCATGTCCCTCTACAGGAGGAATATGCGAAAAAAGTCAAAAAATAGTCCATGGACGACTTGGTAAGCTTTTTTCTAAATGTTTGGCACCTGATTTGACTATTTTCAATTTTTCGTCCAAAATCCGCCTGTAGGGGGACATGCCCGACCTAATACTATCAATCTTCACTGCCTTATGGGCCCCCGAAGAAGAGAGGGCCACGCCGGTGCACTTAGGATTTGCGTCGGAGGCGGCCACCGGGTGCGGCCGAGAACAGGGGGATATTAATGATGTTCCAATCTACTTTTAGCCTCAGAAACAATTTCGAGCACCAAGGAAGGTTCCGAAGCTGGAGTGCTTCCACGTGTCGGGCTTTGGGAGGCGATACTCGTTCGACATTGTTTCGACACTTTTCTGGGAGCTCGAAATTATTTTGGGGACTTGGTCCTTGAGTACGATGGAAGCAACATAAGGGGAGAAACGGGCACACGCGCGGCCGCATACAGTGGGAGCCCATGCCAAGAAACGTCCTGCTTGCCTCCAGGGTGCCCTGGGTTTCTTGGGTTTCGATTGTTTTGCGATGGAGAGCGTGACGTTCCCGCAGCGCACCAACAGTCGATGGACGTCCTGGGGTCTCAGGGTTGGATCTCTTATGGAAGGTTTCTTGTGTCGGGCCCCTACTGTAACCCTGGTAACACGGTGAAGAGGTGGCCTCACTGAGATCCCCGTCTTCGCACCAGATATCATAATTCCTGGTGGTCTGGTCTGACACATCGGCAAACAAGATCCTTTACCCCTAATGTTTCTGGCCCTCCTCGCTTGTGCCCCTATCAAAGGGTTAGGGGGATCTTGTTTTGGTGAATCAGCCGTGTGTTCCGGCTTTCCGGTATAGCGTGTTTTGAAGCGCTGTTCGGCCAGGATCGCGAGGCGGACCCAGCAGTGGCGACGAGGCCTCACAGAGCTTTCAAAAGGGACAAGCACCTCCAGATCCCCTTATAGTACCTTCTTCCTTCGAGGCGGGATAGTCTGGGATAAGCCAGATGACCCTGTACGAATCCAAGGAATATTGGAGGATGGTGAAGAAGAGTGGGGAGGAGGAGCAGTAGCAGCATCAGTATGGTGTTCGGCATTACTATTCGTTTGGAAGGCAAAAACGAACAGGGACCTGGTGTAAACAGTGAAACGTATGAGGCCCGATGCACCAGAGGGCTAACACTGCTTCGCAAGATGCAAGACTCACAAAAACAAACAATGACCTAGCACACCATCCGCTGCAAGCGCGATGGCACATGCTTACGGCCGTAGCCAATATTGTTGCCTTCGTTCCGGCCGAGCATTTCTCTAGTCGCCTTTCGTACGTTCTCGGAGGGTGGTGCAGAACATGGACGAGGCCGCACGCATCTCCGGCTTGGCACGTGTTCCAGATGTCGCTCGAACGTTTGTCCATACGCCTGGAAGGGGCCCTGGAAGTCTTGAACATTATTTCGGTTTCCCAGGGTCTTCCTCCTTGCGTCGGGACCGTCAAGAGGTTGTGGGAATGAAAAGTTAGTCCTGTGGAAGGCCCAGGTATCCAGAACCCGCTTCCTCTAGGACTCCTTTCCATCATGCCGAGTGCAGCGGCTGTGGAGGATGAGGAGGAGGAGGATAAAAAGGAGGACGAGGATGAGGATGAGGATGATGATGATGATGATGTGGAGGAGGAGGAGGAGGGGGCCAGCGAGAGTATTGGGGGGATGGGCGCGAGGATGATGAAGAGGAGGAGGAGGGAAGTAAGCCATCATGCCACTTGTAGCCTGGTCTGCACAGGACAAGAGCATGGGAGCAGCGCGAGACGTGCCGCAGCCGCTTCGGCGGTGTCGTTAAGAGCCAGAGTTCGCGTGGCGACGCCAAAGAGCAGTGCCCGTCCGGTGTCTTCGCGCACGCTTCGTTCACGTGAAGGATCAAGTCGACGAGGGGGAGGAGGAGCGGGAGGAGGAAAAACGCGGGACGCGACGTCGAGGAGGAAGAAGAGAGTATGAGTATGAGTATGACCACAAGACGAAGTCTTGGAGGAGGAAGAAGAGAGGGACGGAAGAGGAGAAGGAGGACGGCCTCGCAGGCAGACAATCTCCTTTCCAGCCTGCCCGGGAGGTCCGCTCTGGAGTGCCGCCCCGTTTTGGGGGAGACTCCGTGGCCATGGCCGGGGATGGAGGATTTGGGGGAGGATGAGGGCGAAGTGGACGCGGAGGCCGAGGAGGAGGCGCGCTTGCGCTTGCGACGCCGCATCTGCCCCGCTTTGCTTGGCGATGTGGCATGCGCAGCTCCAGAGGAGGGCTGTGTCTTGGGGCGATTCGAGGGGCCTCTTGGGCCGTCTTAGAGCGTCGGAAGCCCGAGAATCAAGGGAGGACAAACCAGACAGTTGGAGTTTACTAACGGCCCGGGGCGTTCACGAAACAGCCTCGCCCGGTTCGATTCCTTCTCTGAGTGCGTTCACCAAACGGCTTCGCGTCTCGGGGTGATTCTTACGGGGGTGGATTTTTCTGCCTTCGAGAAAAAAGCCCGAAAGAGGCAGCGCCCTTCGAGACCTCACCAAAAACGAACTCGATGAGTCTGGCCTCTCGAGGCTCCCTTTCGTGGTGATTATTTCGGGGGTGATTATTCTTCCTTCTCGAAAAAAAGGCCAGAAAGGCAGCGTGCTTCAAAACCTCACAACAGCGAACTCGATGAGTCTGGCCTCTCGAGGCCCCTTTTCGTGGGGGGGGGGGATTTTCAGCTTTCCAGAAACAAAGCCAGAAAGAGGCAGCGCCCTTCAAAACCTCACAAAAAACGAACTCGATGAGTCTGGCCTCTCGAGGCCCCCTTTCGTGGGGGGGATATTCTGCCTTCGAGAAAAAAGGCCAGAAAAGGCAGCGCCCTTCAAAACCTCACAACCACGAACCCGATGAGTCTGGCCTCTCGAGGCTCCCTTTCGTGGGGGGGCGGGCCGGGCCGGGGGCGGGGCCGCTGCTGCCTCGCGCGAGCGGGGCCGGACCCCCTCTTCGAGCAGAGCGACGGCGCGCGCGCGCCTCGGGGAGAGCGCGCGGGTGCCCCGGGGCCTCAGCGTCGCGGCGCGCCCCCCCGCGCGGGCGTGGCCGCCAGGACGAGTCGGGGGCGGAAAAGAGGGGGGTGATGACTAGGGGGGGTGGATATCATGGCGGGGGCCATGATGTTTCCCCAGATTTCATGGCGCCCCTTCTTATTTCATTACGTCCCTGGCCCCCCCGCTGGGCCGCGCACATGCCCCCGGTCATGATTTGCACCCCCCCTCTTGGACACCCCCCTCTTGGCCGCTCCCGAACGAGCGCCCAGGTGGCCGGGAGGACGCGAGGGACGGAGGCGAGGTCGTCGTTTGCTGATCCGTTGCTGTGCCGATCGGCGCGGGCCCTCGCACCCACCCACCCCCGCCTGGAGTAGATCTCTCGGCTGTTCGGGGCGCTTGCTTCGAGCAGGTGGGGTCTCCCCCGTAGGACGCACTGTTGCAAACAGTCGCGTTAAGCAGAGGTCCGGAGCCAGACCCCCCCCTCCACCCCCCTCTCCGCCCAACGTCGAAACACCGAAGAAGAGAACGTTCACAAGGTCGAGGAGGAAATGGGTCAGGGGAGGAGGGTGAAAATGACGAGCAGGAAGGGGAGGACAAGGTCGAGGAGGAGAGGGCGAGGAGGAAAGGGCGAGGGCGAGGTCGAGGAGGAGAGGAGGGAGGAACTGACGCAGGACGAGGGAAGCGAGGCATGGTGTGTGTGTGGGGGGGGGCAGAGCAGCGAGCTGGAGGAAGACCAGGAGCGAAAGAAGGACGTACGCGTGCATGAATACACGTTGGTTTTGAGAGTACGCATGGCGCGAACGTTCGGATCACGCGGCTGGTCTCGCGGACTGGGGGGCCGTGTTCATGCATACGTGGTTGGGCACGTATGTCTGTTGTGAAATCCCTCGTATGGGGAGGTGGAGGAGGGAGGAACGGAAGAAGGATTAGGGAGCAATTTGATGATGTGTTGGGGGGGGGCAGAACAGCGAGTTGGAGGAAGAGTGGGAGAAGGGCCATAAAAGGAAGAGCAGCAGCATGCGCAGCAAGGCTTGCTCCCTCTCTCTGTCCGTTCTCCACTACTCTTACATCTCTGTCTACCTCCACAAGCCCCGCAACTTCCCACATCCTTCTCTTCCCGCTGACGTTTTTGCGTGCGCCCTCTCGGCGTTGAAGGGTATGAGGGTTGAGTGGGGATGATAACGTCAGGGTGTATGCTTGTGGGCGTACTTCGGGGGGGGGAGGGCTTACAGTCGGAGGCCATTGATCCACCCGGATCGTGCGTGACCGTTGACACAAGAGTGCGCATGAAATTCCATGCACGTTCCTTCGAGGATCAGAACATGACATACACATACCTTTTTCGGAGTTCCGCGCGGATTTCTTGGATCTGCGCTGGGCCCCTCTTTCTGGCGCGCGCAGCGCGCCAGGGGCGGCTCCGGAGGCACCGCAACGGCGGGGCCTCCAGTGTGCATCCAAGGAGTTCGCGCGGACCTCCAAAAGGTCATGTTCATGCCATGTCGTGTGCTCCTCGATGTGTTGCATCGGTATCCCTCGGCAAAGTTCGACAGGGCGCTGTCTGCTTTTTATCCTCGCCCAGAGCTCTGGAACAGGCTTCTAGACCGCGCGCGCCCCTGCCCGCTTGCCGTGTGCAAAAGTCGGGCAGCGCGCAGAGGAGCAGAGGCGCCGTGCAGGATGCTGCGTGCAGTCGGGCTGCTCTGTTGGGAGGGGAGGGCCCGCAGAGCTTCGCGGTGGGTCCTGATTCGGAGGAGCTGCTCGGTGAGGGGGGGGGGGGGGGCCGGAGGAGGTGGAGGAGGGGGGATACGGAACAGGAGGAGGGGAGGAGGCGGAGGAGGACACGGGGGGAGGATGGGGGAGGAGGAGGATGGAGGTTCGAGGATGGCAGTTCTGTTGCTTCACGTGACGTTTTTGCTGGTTGTTTTCTGCTGCCTTTTCGGGGCCTCTGGGGGCGCCTTTCGTCACCACGGCTAAATCCACCTCGAAATTTTAGTCAGGACGCTTTGCACGAGAGGTCCGGCGGTCGATTCCTGAGAGGAGGGATGGGAGGAGGATGGGGAGGAGGAGGAAGGGGAGGAAGGGGAGGAAGGGGAGGAGGATGGGGAGGAGGAGGAAGGGGAGGAAGGGGAGGAGGGGAGGAGGGAGGAGGGGGATGAGGAGGAGGAGGAGGAGGAGGAGGAGGAGAGGGAGGAGAGGAGGAGAAGGCGGAGGAGGAGGAGGGGAGGAGGAGGAGGAGGAGGAGGATGAGGATGATGATGATGAGGAGGAGGAGGCGGAGGGACTTACGAGGGGGTCTGGCGCGCTGGCTTGGCAGGCGCTCATGAATTAGGACCGCGACCGCCAGAGTCCACGGCGGGGCCGATAGGAGAGGAGGAGGAGGAGGAGGAGGAGGAGGAGGAGGAGGAGGATAGAAGAGGAGGAGGAGGAGGAGGAGGGAGGAGGAGAGGAGGAGGAGGAGGGAGGAGGAGGAGGAGGAGGAGGAGGAGGAGGAGGAGGAGGAGGAGGAGGAGGAGGAGGAGGAGGAGGAGGAGGAGGAGGAGGAGAGGAGGAGGAGGGAGGAGAGGAGGAGGAGGAGGAGGAGGAGGAGGAGGAGGAGGGGAGGAGGAGGGAGGAGGAAGAGGAGGAGAGGAGGAGGAGCAGGAGGAGGAGGAGGAGGGAGGAGGAGAATGAGGAGGAGGAAGAAGAAGAAGAAGAAGAGGAGGAGGAAGAGGAGGAGGGGGAGGACGAGAAGGAGGAGGACGAGGAGGATCAGGAGGAGGAGGAGGAGGAGGAGGACGAGGAGGAGGGGGAGGAAGAGGGTCAGCATGCCGTCGGAGCCCTGGCGCATCCGCGCGCGGCTTCCTCGCCCGGGCTCGGGGGGGGGTCTGCGGCACCACTCAGCGACGTGCTGGGGACCGAGCATGACGGGGCGAGCGCTTGTGGTGGCAAATCAGGGGAGCTTGGTATACCAGAGGAGGAGTAGGTACCCATACCCTGAGATCCTGGCGACTTCCTTCTTTCGAGCCGGGCGTTTTCGCGTAATTTCGGGCCCCGGGAAACATGGCGCGAAACATGGCGCAGAAAGATAGGGTCTAGGGCTCCGGGCTCGATTATTCACGTCGTCTCATTTTTTTTTTGACGCGTCGGATCTCAGGGTGCCGCTACCCTTCGCCCGTTTTCCTTTTTGTGGGCCTCCTGGGGAGGCCCTCATCTCCACCGCTGGATGCGCCTCGAAATCCTGGGCCGAACGCAGCCCGGGAGAGGTCCGGGGAGTAGCGGTATCGGTACATTTCGTTTTCCCAGTGTGGGTGGCAAATCATGGGGGCCTTGTGTACGTTCTTAATTCGGTCTTCAGCGTCGGCTGGCGTCGATCGGCGTCAGGTCATCGATGGGACAGCGCCTGTGCATCGTCGATTAGCTTCGACTGGCGTCGACTTGGCGTCGGTTGGCGTCGACTAGTAGCGTCGAGCAGCGTCGATCCGGAAGAGCCGACAAGGTGGTAATGGAGGATGACGATTAATAAGTGAACGGGGGTCGTGTTCACGCGGCGGCGCCCGGGATGACGATTAGAAAACCGGCCGCGGGCCGGAAAACTATTCTTTTTAATCGTTCTCCTCCAGTCAGAATATTATGCAGAAATAACAGAAAAACCTGTTTTTTAATCGTCCTCTTTCATTTTTTTATTAATCGTCATCCCGCATTACGGCAGGCTCCCATGAGTTGCCGCCGAAGGGGCCGAAACGTCCGGCACTCCGTGAGATCCCGGGCCCTCGCAGGTCGGTCGAGCTCGAAGAGTGCGGCAGGAAAAGGCGGGGTCTGGGGTTCCTGGGCGTGGTGCGTCGCGATGCGGGGCATGCCTTCGCGGCGTCGGGTCTCGGGGCCCACGGTGGCCTGGCCTGGCCGCATACGTATGTAACTGCTCAATGCGCCACCGTGTCTCGTTTTCCCCCGCCCGGGCATGCCTGTTTAGCAGCCGCGCTGCCCACTCCACCTCCTCCTCTTGTTCATCTCTCTGGGTCTTCCTCCCCCCGCCTCCTTGTCGTCGAAGCTGTGTAGGGCAGTCTGCAGGGCCAATCGATGCCGCGTGCTTGTTGGACAGATGTGTCGAACAGTCTCTCCTCACGCCCTGCGGGATGATCTCCTCCTTTCTCCTGTTTGTGGTCAACGTCTGCTCGGTCTAGTTGATTATCATCGGCTAGGCCGCCACGACTGCTTCAAAGACACGGAGTAAGGGGACCAGGAGGAGGAGGAGGAAAGGGAGGAGGAGGAGGAGGAGGAGGAGGAGGAGGAGGAGGAGGAAGAGGAGGACGAGGAGGAGGGAGGAGGAGGAGGGAGGAGGAGGAGGGGGGAGGAGGAGGAGGACAGGCACGAGGACGAGAACGAGGAGAGGAAGGAGGAGAAGGAGGAGGAGGAGGAGGAGGAAGAGGAGGGTGGGCTGGCGCTACGATCCCAGTAGGAGGAGGAGGAGGAGGAGGAGGAGGAGGAGGAAGAGGAGGAAGAGGAGGAGGAGGAGAAGGAGGGAGGAGGTGGAGGAAGAGGAGGAGGGGAGGAGGGAGGAGGGAGGAGGGGAGGGAGGAGGAGGGAGGAGGGAGGAGGAGGAGGGAGGAGGAGGATGGGCCCAGCCCGAGGACAACGCGGGCGCCCTCGTCGCCTGCAAGGCCTGCGGCGCGGAGGGCCCATGCGAGAAGGCGCCGCCGCCTTCCGCCGCCGCGCCGCAGGTCTGCGACCCCAGCCCCCCTCGACGTCTGGAGCCTTGGGGGCCGTCTTGGGGCCTCTTGGAGGCCTTTCGGAGGCTCTGGAAGGGAGAGCAGAGGGCGAGGAGCTCCTCCCCAAGTGTAGGCTCAGGGACCTCTTCCCGGAGCGCATTCTGACCTGGGCCTCCGAGCTGGTCCGGGCGTGTTGATGGGGAGCCATCCGCGGGGAGGCCCGGCAAGCGCAAGGGAGGACGTCGAGATTGCCCGCCACCCCCCCCCTCGCCATGAGCTTGCTCTTCTAAATTCAGGCAAGGCAAGTTTACTTGCATGGCGTTCGTCGTACCCCTCTTCGCTCCCTTAGTCGGGAATCCTTAGTCGGGAATCCGATGCAGGGAATCCTGAGTTGGGCTGTAGAGTGTAGAGGCCCCATAAAGCTGTATGCGGGCCTGTAGGGATCGCGTAGGGACCCGAGCAGGTTGTGCGCATAGCCTGCGCGCACATATCTCATCGAGATCGCACGTCCATGGGGTCGTGAAAGCAAGCTCCATGGAATTGGTAGGTTGCAGGCCAAGCTTGAGGGGCCAACTGGGTTGCTGGGTTGCTGGGGGCGGGGGGGTGCCGACCCCCAGGGCTCGAGATCGATGGTCGGTCCTTCAGGGCAATCATTGACCTCAGCACCCGTGCAACGTGTGTCTATGTGCAGTGTCGTCCTGAGTGTTGCTGTTATTGCTGCAGTTGAATATTATTCCTTCTAAAGAATTATTATTGTTGGGACCCCTGGTGCGCGACCTCTGCGCCGCGCCTAGGCCGCAGCTACATTTTCATCATTTTTTCGCGAAAGCTTCAGAAAAGTGGATTATGTCCGGATCCGGTTTTTTGTTGACGCTCGTTTTCCCTTGCAAAAAACACTAGAAAATGAAAATTCTTGTTCTTACTTGATCAAATTGCAAGAATCCCTTGCAAAAAATAAGGTAAAGTGGACATTCGTGCGCGCAAGACGAAATCCTTCCAAAACCTTAGGTTTCGTAACGATTTTAACATAAAAACATCAAAAACCCAATGGTTTTTTAAGAAAAAATGGTCAAAATGTCCTTCCGCGCGCGCTGTCCGAATCCCACAAAACCAATGGTTTTTCAACATTTACGTTACATGAGCTCGCGCGAGCTACTTTTTCTTGTTCTAACATAATCAAATTTCAATAATCCCTTGCAAAAAATAAGGTAAAGTGGACATTCGCGCGCGCAAGACGAAATCCTTCCAGAACCTTAGGTTTCGTAGCGATTTCAACATAAAAACATCAAAAACCCAATGGTTTTTCAAAAAAAAATGTCCAAATTTCATCCCGCGCGCGCTGTCCGACTCCCACAAAACCAATGGTTTTTCAACATTTATGTTACATGAGCTCGCGCGAGCTACTTTTTCTTGTTCTAACATAATCAAATTTCAATAATCCCTTGCAAAAAAAAGTAAAGTGGACATTCGCGCGCGCAAGACCAACAAAAAACACGACGATCTCAGGAACTTGCCCCAAAAATGTGACCAACTCCGCTCTCTCTGTCTCTCTCTCTGTCTGCTCTCTGTCTCTCTCTCTGTCTGTCTGTGTCATGTATTGTATGTCACAATTGCAGGATGCTGGGCACACGCGCGCCCCGAATAAGTGACCAAGTTCTGTGGGTGTGTACCCCACGCCAGTGTAGTAGCCACGGTCGTCCGCACGCCACGAAGTGAAGTGTCCCAACGTCATAGGGCGGGAAGCTGGGTTTGGGTGGTCGCGAAGAGTCGTTTGGATATTTGGTAGAGCTTGAACTGCCCCCCCACGAAGTGGGGGTATTGTCTCGCGTCGCATGAAAACCCTGGCACTGGTGAGAACACTGAGCGTTCGGGTAAAATGATTGTTGTTGTTGTTGTTGTTGTTGTTGTTGTTGTTGTGGTTGTTGTTGCTGCGTTGTTGTTGTCGTCCTCGTCCTCGTCCGCGACCCGCCCGCGACCCACCTCGCGACCCACCTCGCGACCCGCCCACGACCCACCCGCGACCCACCCACATCTGATCTGACGACAGAATCGACGCCTCCTGCGGGCTTCTTGTACAGCTTATGAAAGCAATATGGCGCCGTCGGCGGGCTTCTTCAGAGCCTCGCAGACTGCTGACGACCCCCATCGCCTGCTCACTCTTATTCGTAGCTGCGGTGTGCTATATACTTTCTCTGGGGAGTGGTTTTTGAATCTCATACCTGCCCCCCCTGAGGGTGGATTCTGACCACTGCGAAATGCCTGCGCCCGCCTTGTCTGGGTGCTGTGCAGAAGACGTTCCAGAATCTGAACGCGTGCGGGCGCTGTCGCACGGCAGAGTTGGACTCCATTGGTGTCCACTCTTGGCTGTGTCCCACTGCGGAATCCTTTCTGGCGACCCTAGGGTTAGGTCGGGCACGTCCTCCTACAGGCGGAGCTTGGGAGAACAAATCGAAATATTCAAACAATGCCAAACATAGTAAGAAGCAGTCGGAAAATCGTCCCCAGGGTATTTGTTTGACACAATTTTTGAATACTCCTCCTGTAGAGGGACACAGCCCGACTTCACCCAAGGGATGTTTTCCCAGGAAGGGCGTGGCACACCAACAGAAACTCCGGAGCAGCCCTTGGCCAGGCGCTTAGAAGTTTTCCAAAAAATACCCAACATGCCAAACATACTATGAAGTAGTCGGACAATCGTCCCTTATTGTGTTTTTGCAGCAAATGTTTGAATACTCCTCCTGTATAGGGGCAGGCCCGACCCAACCCGAGGGATGGTCTCCCAGGCAGGGCGTGGCACACCAAGAGAAAAACTCCGGCGCGGCCCCTGGCCAGGCGCCCAGGCCCCACAGGGCCTCACCACCTGCGCCCTGCTCGGGCCTCTGTCCGGTGCCCAGTCGCAGCCAGGAGATGGGACGAGCCTTCCCAAAACCTGCCTCAGGAACCTTCCTCAGGAGCCTTCCTAAAACCGCCCTGAAACCTTCCCAAAGCCTCCCTAAAAACCTTCCTAGAACCTTGCTCTCGGGAGCCTTCTTCGAGCCTCCCTAAAGCCTTCCTCAGGAAGGCTCTTTTTTTTGGGGGGGAGAACCGTCCCAAAACCTTCCCAAAACCTTCCTCAGGAAGGCTTTTTTTTTTGGGGGGGGGGGAAGAAGAAGAACCTTCCTAAAACCTGCCTCAGGGGGGGTTTTGTTGGCAGAATCTTCCTAAACACATTCATAAAACTTTCCTCCAGAGGGTTTCTTGTAACAAAAGCAAGGTGGGAAACAAACAAAACACAAGTCCTTCGCCAGGCACCCAGCGCCCCCTCGCTCCTGGCTCCAAGCCCCCGCAGGCCATCGAGACCGTGGCCGTCTTGCCGATGGACCTCTGCGCGAGTGTGCCCGAGGACTTCGTCGTGAGGGAGAGGGCCCCGATGATCAGAAGAGGGGAAGGTACACGCTGGTCGTTTGAAGTAGGTGTTTCTGGATTCCCAGACCCCAATCTATTTCAGGCGCCTTCCTACTTCAAGAATCGATATGTGCCTGTTGTGCTTTGTTGCTCTTTGGGCGGGCCTGAACCGAATCTACTTTATCTGCCCTCCTACTTCATGCTTCCCCCTACTTCTTCCGACTGGCGGGTACTGATGATGCTGCCTTTCTCGAGTTTTCGCCTTTCTGGGCCTCCCGGGAGGCCCTCGTCGCCACGGATTCGCCTCGACACCTTGGGCAGAACTCACCGTAGGAGGGGCCTGGCGAGTAGCGGTGCCGTCTTTCTTGCTTGCCCCCCCAGATGAAGGGGAGGACTTCAACATTCTGGCTCCCCCGAAGCTCAGCATCGCCTATCGGGGAAGCGTAAGACTCGAGTACGCTGGAGCTCGGGTCTGCCGACGCTCTTTGACGAGCGCGTCCTGGGTTTTGACGGCCCAGCTTTCGTGGGATGTTTGCAGCGGGAGCCTGAGTCAAATTTGAGTTTCGGGCTCGTCATTCTCCTGATGCCCCCGTGACGGCGGCCCTGTTTGGCGTTTTTCGTCCGCTCTGGGTCTCCAGGGGGGCGTCTCGTCGCTGCGGCGGGATGCGCCTCGAAAAACGCGCGAAGATGCACCCCGCCAGGGGGTCTGGGGGCAGATTTGTTGAGCGGACTTGGTTCTTCTTTGTGATTGCGTCGCGTCGCCTTCGCAATTTTTCGTGCAGTGCCCATCCCCGTGTTTGTTCAAGTGGCTTACGCCAGTCCGACAGCCCCCATCGGAGTAGAGATGTCCAGGGCGTTGGATAGAATCTATTGGAGCTGGAGTGGCTGGGTGTGTTTTCACGCCCGCGAAGGTGGAGGAGAAGGAGGTTACGGAGGAGGAAGAAAAGGAGGAGGAGGAGGAGAAGGAGGAGGAGGAGGAGGAGGACTGGAGGTGGGAAGGAGGAGGGCGGAGGGAGGAAGGAAGGAATTTCGAGGTGCAAGGGGGGCTGTTAGGATTGTCGCGGGGCTGCTTTAGGGCTTCTGGGAAGCTTCCGGTGGAGGCTTTGCTGATCCTTTTGTCGGCTCCCGGTGGGCTCGTGGGGCTGGCTGGGGCGCAAACCCTTCAGGATGGACATGAGAGCCTCTTCGAATGTGTCTCAGGGGCCTCTTAGAGTGCTGTGGGAACATCTGGTGGTCGTTTTGGCCTCTTGGGAGCCTTTTCGGTGCCTCTTGGGGGCCTCTTAGAGGCCTCCTGGGGTGCCTCCTGGGGACCTCCTGGAGGCGCCTCGGGGTCCCTGGGTGGGCTTGTGGGGCCACGACGAGGGACAAGGCTCAGAGGTGTCGGTTCGTATTGCTCCTTTTTTGGGCCTTTCTCGGGGCCTTCGTGGGCCGTCGCAGGGCCGTCTTGGAGCTATATTGGGCCGTCTTCGGGCCCTCTTGATGGCCTCCCAGGCTGTCCTGGGGCGATCTTTGGGGGCCCTTGAGGCCGTATCGGATGATGCCAAGACGACAGAATAGGTATGTCGAACATGTGCGTTTTCTCGTTGGAATGGGGCGATTTGGGCGTCGTGTGGCCCTCTCGGCAGTCCTCCTCGGAGCACTCTTGGGCCGTCCTGGCGGCTTCGTGGGATGTCTTGTAGCCGTCTTGGACAGGTTTTGGGGCTCTCTGGAGGCTCTTGAGGCCCCGGAAGTGTTTTTGGCGAGCTCGTCCCCTCGTTCTCCCCCCAGGGGGATGGGGGGCTCAAATCGGATTTTGGACCCTGTGTGAGGGGGAGGGGGGGAGGGGGTGAGCCAACTATTTCACACCCCTTGTCACCCCCAGCAAGCGGGGGGTCGGCGGATACATAAGCGGTTGGTCGGAGAATCCATATGGATATATATATATATATATATATATGTATATAAACATATATATATATACGTGTATATATATACACATAGGATTGCACTCGCGCTTCGCGCCACGCTCCTTTGTCCTTCAATTTCGGGCTGCAGGCGGAATGAGGGATAGGTGAATTAGCAAGTCAACATGTAAATCCTTGTCGCCGTTTTCGTCGTCCTCATGATAGCTTGTTCTTTTTGTCCTTCCCTCATATTTCCTCGTCCTCTTCCTCATGCTCACCTTACCGGTAAGTTTATTTGCAAAGGTTCTTCCTGAAAAAACCTCTTGGCGGCCTCACGAAACCCTTTTCGGAGCTTCTGGAGGCCCTCTGGGCATCTTTTTGGGGCCTTTGGCGGCTTCCTCGGGCCACCTGGCTGCAGACACCACGATCTCCCTGCCCTGAACGACCCGATCTCGATCTGGATCGCTTCGGGGTGCGTCTTGGGGCCATCTTGCACCGTCATGGGGCTCTCTTCGGGCCATATTGGGTCCTTCTTGTGCCGTCTTTGGGCTCTCTTGATCTGTCTGCAGCCCCTTTTTGTACGTTTTGGGACGATGTTCGCCGCCTCCACTGGGTGGTCTCGGGCGCACTGGAGACCAAGGAACCGAGCATCCAAAATTTTACGCCAGATTCACGGGACATCCAAGTTTTCGTTGCGTTTGGAGGGCCTCTGCCCTGGCATCGCTCGCACGTGTTGTTTTTCGGCGAGGGCCATCAAGGATCATCGTGGACCATCTTGCGAAAAGATAGACGCACGACACCGAACAGTGCACGGGGAATGGACGTCCGAGCGATGGCGAGCTTATAGGTGTTCTTTGGGCCGTCTTCGGGCGTCTGCTGGATGTCTGGAGCCGCTTGGGGCTCTCGCGGGGCCGTTAGGACCCCGTCGTGGCCGCTTGAAGCCCGCTTGGGGGGACGTCCAGGAGGCCTGGATGGCCCAATTCGAGGGCCCTTCTGCAAGGCATCCAGGGATTGATTTCTTGAGTAGCAAGTCGTGGGAGCCTTGTGTACCCTCGTAAGTCTGCGTTTAGAGCGCAGTGGCGTCGATTATCGTCGGGTAAACGATGAGAGAATGCCAGTTTTTGAGTCGATTAGCTCCGAGGAGCGTCGATTAGCGTCGAGCTTGGATTCTCGGATGCCTGGCTCAAGCGAGGCCCGAGGGACCTCGGGGGAGGCCAACTGTACACTTACACCGACCATGGCTATGCCGATCCTGGGCCCAGGATAGGCCTGCGTAGGTGTATGGCCGGCGTCCTCCTACCCACCGTGGGCGCGCTAGCCGTGTGTTAGCGTAGGACAACCGATTGTAGGAAGGCGTGGTCCGTAGCCAAACCAATTGTAGGATCGCGTGGTTCGTGTTTTCCCACAACTCGCTGTGTCGCTTTCGTTCGATACATTCGCATGTTTGAAATGTAGGCAGCAGTAGTTCGTGATTTCCTACAGTTTGTTTTGCGTGAGCTCGGTGTCACAAAAACAAGATTCCCAACCGCGCCGTTGACCAAGCACGCCGTCAGCGCGGCCTTGGACCCAGACGTCCGATAATGTGCTTGTTCAGCCCGCGGCCCCAGAGGTCTCGACACTTTCCAGTAGTTGGCGCTCGCGTAAATCGACCGGGTTCGTCCGAATTTATTCCCCAGATATTATTGTGAATCTCGTGCAAATCACATGCAGACCTTCCATCCCTCCAAACTCCACCGCAGGCACCCGGAAGAGTAATAACTCCAAATTGCGGCCGTACGCCCATTTTGGAGGCATACCCCCCTTCGTTGCCCAGGACTCTCCAGGAATCCCTGGGGCCCGGTATAGTGGGCCCTGGGGGTCGAATCTGGGAATCAAAATTGATAAACGCTTGGAGTGAGTAGAAGCACCGCCCTGGAGATTTGGGTCGGACCTTTCTCCTCGGGGCCCATTGCGGTCAATCCGCACAGTAAAGATGAGCAACTTCCTAAGCCCAGAGATCCAACATATTGACAACATCAAGACGGAGGTTTTTCGCAAAGTTCGGCTCCTAGGGGCCCTCGCCGGGCCTCGGGACCGTCAAAAAACGACTCAGGATGAAAAGCTGGTCCTGGGGAATGGGTCGAGACTTCTGGGGACCCCGTATGGAAAAAATCACGACATCGGATCTCAGGGAGGCTAACCGTGCATCCTTGCCGCTTCGGTCATCTTAATTAGGTCAACCCTCACCCTTCTTCGATGGACAGCCCCGCACGACGAGCCTCGGCAGGGGCGCCCAAGGCCTTTGCATCCCTACCGCGCATCCTTCTTACACGGGTGGACTGTGAGCCCTCGCGCCGGAGGACTTCGCCCCGGGAGGCCCGCCGACCTGGGTGCAGGTGCCGGGGCCCCACGGCCCGCTGCCAGTCCGGATCCCGGACTCCGCGGAGCCCGGCCAGCTGCTGCGCGTGAGGCCCCGCCGCCGCCGCCTCCGTCTGCGTGGTTCGTGCCGCCGCGGCCGCGTGCGGTGCGCCCCAACCCCCCCCCCGCCCGTCGCCGCCGCCGTCGACGCCGGCGCCGTCGTCCTCGTCTTCGTTGTCGCCGTCGAGGCCGTCGTCGGCGCGTGAGGCCATGCGAGCCCCCCCCCCCCACCACCCGTCGCCGGCGCCGGCGCCGACGCCGTCGTCCTCGTCTTCGTCGTCGCCGTCGGGGCCGTCGTCGCCGAGGCTCGGGCCCAACGCGAGCTACAGGGTGGCGCTGCCGGCGGGCGCGCGGGAGGGCGACGCGCTCACCGTGGAGCCCCCGGAGGGCGAGGCGGTGCGCTTCCGCGTGCCCCCGGGCAGGAAGTCGGCGGCAGGCAAAGCCAGGTTCCAAGCTTAAGTCGGGCCTGTCCCTCTACAGGAGGAGTACTCGAAAATAGTTATAAAGAAAAGGAGTGGGGATAATTTGGGGTATTGTTTAAACATGTTGAATTTTTCGTCCCAAATCCGCATGTAAGAGGACGTGCCCGACCTGACTCCAGGCCTTCCAGATGGGGTTCTTCGGGGGTGAATCATGGGAGCCGTGTGTATCCTCTCAGTTCCGTCCTTGGCGTCAACTGGTGTCTAGAAGTCGATGGGACCGCGCCGAGTCGGCGTAGACTACTGTAGATTTGGCGTCGATGGACGTCGATCAGCGTCGATCCGCAGACGCCAACAATATGGTCCCTCAGTCTCCCATGAGTTGCCACCGAAGGGTTCAAGTAGGTGGGGTCGAAGGATCGCTCCGCATCGCCGATGCATCGACCATGCGTCTCGATGTGGAGCCAGAGATTCTCTACGCCGATTGCGCCGATGCATCGCCGACCTCGCCGATACGTCGGCGATGCGGTGCAATCCTCCGACCCCATCTACTCGGACACCATCCAAGAGTGGGGAAACCAAAAGGTATCCATACCGCTACCTCCCAACCTCTCCCAGGGTACGTTCTGACCAGGGTTCCGAGGCGAATCCAGCGGTGGCGACGAGGGCTTCCCAGGAGGCCCAAAAAGAGGAACACCGGCGACGGGTGGCGGTAGCGGTACCTGCTCCTCTGCCGAAAAGGGCCTCTACACCATCCCCTTGGCACGAGGCACGGTTTTGTCGGCGTCTCCCCAACATACTTATACTATATGTGCGTCGCGCCGCCAGGGGCGACGCGCGCACTGAGAATTCCTACAGTATACGCGTCGTTGCGGGCGCTTTCTGGCCACACCGCTCGGGAAACGACATGCTACAAGATGGGTATCCTATATGTTCGGGTCGGACGCGCGCCTCCAAGGAGGACATTTAGTGTGAATGTTAAGTCGGGCGCGTCCCTCTACAGGAGGAACATATCAAAACAGTCAAAAGAAAGTCTGGGGATTAGTGTTTGATCATGTTTTGAATATTGTAGGTGGTATTCTTTATTTTTCGTCCGAGATCCCCCTGTAGGGGGACAGGCCCGACCTTGTATTAGTATGTCTCTGTGCGTCCCTTTTTTGTTCTACGAACATCGCTTACATTCTTGGAACATTTGTGGGTTCTAAGAACATGTCGTGGTCTGCCTATAGGAATGCCGGGGCGGTCGGTCCCTGCTCAGTATTCGTATGTCTCTGTGTATCCCGTTTTGTGTGCAGGGTGAGGCTGGCCGAGCGGTGCGAGCTCGTCCCCTCCTCGCGTGTGGCCACGGGGGCGGCGGCCGCTCGGCGAGGGGTCCAGGGCGGGGGGGGGGCCCTGGGCTCGTAAGTCGGGCAGGTCCCTCTAGAAGGAGGAATGTTCACAGATAGGTAAAACACATTATTGGGACGATGTTTCGATCATTTGAAGACTATCTTTCAATACTTGTTGATATTTTTTCCTTCCAGTGCCCGCCTGCCCCTCTACAGGAGGAATGTTCCGAAATGGGTAAACAAATAGACTGGGGACGATAGTTCCATTCTTTGAAGACTATGTGTCAATGCTTTTCGATTGTTTGTTTTGCTCTTCCGAAGCCCGCCTGTAGGAGGACATGCCCGAGCTGACCCTAGGCGAGGGGCCCTGGGCTTCAGTCGGGTATGTCCCTCTACAGAAGGAATGTTCAAAAATAAACAAAAATAGTCTGGGACGATGTTTGTATTCTTTAAGGCTTATTTTTCAATACTTTTTGATTCTCGAAAAACATATTCCCAAGCCCGCCTGTAGGAGGACATGCCCGACCTGACCCGGGGCGAGGGGCCGCGAGCGATGGTGAGTCAGTGGGGATTGGGTGTGGCCGCACGGTTTTGGGACTTGGATCGTTCTCCGAGGACGTCTCGGGCGAGTGCGGTCTCCAAGGTCCCACAAACGTGCGGTGACGGGCCGTGCGGGGAGGTCTCTGGGGATTCCGAGAGGTCACCGCAGGGTCTGTCACCGCCGCGCTTGGGGACCCTAGCGAAGGGCCCCCCCACCTGTCTCACGCACGCGCGCGCGCTCACCCTCACTCTTTTTCGAGGTGGGGGTTTGTCCATTACCACAGCCTGGAGGGTCGACCTTCGGGGACGTCGGCGGACGGGGGGATGGACACATTCGGGCCCCTCGGGAACAACACATCTATCCACATCCACCGCCCGCTGGGTCGGGACGCCGGTTCCCAGCTGGGAGCCGACGTCCTGCCTCGCACTTTTGTGCGCAATTGCGGGGGACGAGTGGCGCGTCTCGCCATCCCTTGGGCTTCCTGCGGGATCTTCGTGGCCACGGCCAGATGCGCAGTTGAATTCTGGCCAGAACGCGCTCCAGGCGGGCTCCAGGGAAAGTTTCGGCGCGACACGACGGGGGCACATGTGCGGTATTCAAATCGCTGGCGTCTTGAACTCACCGCAATCGATTTGGCGTTTCGGTCCCTGGGGCAACTCAGAAACCAGGACACGGTCCATGGGGATGGGGTCGAGATCTTGGTGACCACGGAATCCCTAAAACAGATCACGTGGTCCGAGGCCAGGGAAGGGGACCATGGTGACGGGGCAGCCTTCAAGATGGCCGGGGGCTTCGCAGAGAGGGGTGAGTGGGCGGCATGGAAAACGCCAAGCGTCACGCGCGTTCCAAGTACCGTACGCACGACAATAATCATATGGGGAAATCTTCGTGGGGTGGAAGGAGAGCGCCCACTTCAAGCAAGCGCATTTTGGACGCAGGGCGGCAACTTGTTTAGGAGCTCCTCAGGGCTCCTTCAGTTCATTTGTCTTGCACCCTTTGCTCCCCTCCCTCAATTCGGCCCTCACCTCTCTCGCTTGGGGTTGCGGATCCGCTTCGCCATCTCTGCCCACTTGCCTCGCTGTGCGAACGGCAAGCGCGTGAGCGAACAGGGTCAGCATCGAGGCACGTGGATGGTGCCTAGGGGGGAATCTCAGAGTGAGGGGGCCGAACGGTCATTCGTTGTCCCTGGGTGCGTGGTTCTAGTGGGGATCCGTGGTGAGTAGTCTGCTTGTAGCGTTGTTGTTGTTGCTGTTGCTGTTGTTGCTGTTGTTGCTGTTGCTGTTGCTGTTGCTGTTGTTGTTGTTGTTGTTGTTGTTGTTGTTGTCTTTGCCGTTGTCATTGTCGTTGTCGTTGTCGTTGTTGTTGTTGTTGTTGTTGGTGTTGTTGTTGTTGTTGTTGTTGTTGTTGTTGTTGTTGTGGTTGTTGTTGTTGTCGTTGTTGTGGTTGTTGCTGATGGTGATGATTTTGTTGTTGTTGTTGTTGTTATTGTTGCTGTTGTTGTTGTTGCTGTTGATGTTGTTGTTGTTGTTGTTGGTGTTGTCGTGCGACCACACCCGCACCCACCCTGCGACCCACCCGCGACCCACCCGCGATCCACCCCGCGACCCACCCCGCGATCCACCCCGAGACCCACCCCGCGACACAACCCGCGACCCATCCGCGACCCACCCCGCGACCCAACCGCGACCCACCCCGCGACGGACGCCCGGGCCCACGCGCAACCACCCGCCGACCGAACCACGCCGCCACACGATGCCACCCATCACATGCACTTTAACGAGAATACAACGGCAGCCCTGCAGCGCCGGAGCGGTCGCATTATGCACAATCTGTGTATAAAAAGTAGGCGCCTAGCGGACGGGCGCGCCTTCTCACAGAGGTCTATCAGCAAACCTACACGACTGAGGCACGTGCTGCACACGCAAGCCCCCCTCACTCTTATCCGCAACTGCGGGGTGTTACGTATTTCCATCCGTCCATTGTCCCCAATGAACGTCCCAATCGCGCCTCCTTTTTTCAACTTTGCGCCAAACGCCGCAGGGTGACAGTTTACATACGCCATCGCTCGCAGGACAGTTCGTCAACGTGGTTGGACGCTTCATGTGTACGGCATTTGACGTAGCTTATTGGCTTCACGATTGAGTCGTCGATCCTGTCATCGTGCTGATGTATAAAAAAGCGTATTCCCGAAGCGGCGGGGGGCCTTGCTCGAGATCCGACGCCGTGGCAATGCCAGACACGACGCAATGAAACATCACGGCCGATGCCCTCGACCCCGTCTTCTCTGGGCCAGGCGTTGCAAGAGATTCCGATCTTGTCCCTCAAGCAGTGGCAAGGCGTCTGGGCTTGCCCATAAGCCCACCAGCGGATGCTCTAAGAGCCTTTTGCGGTCTGCACGAAGTGCTCTTGGGACATGTCTGTCCGAGACCGTCTTGCTTTGATACATCGTGCTTTATGTTCTAAGAGCATCTTCTTTGATCTTCGAACGTTCTCGTGTTCGAAGAGGACTTCGTGGTAGGCCGATAGGAATGCTGGGACCATCGACTCCTGCTCAACTGACCCAGGATGCCCCCAGCTTGTCCAGGGAGGCGCCAACTGCCTCCAGGGCACCCATCACTACGCCCCGAGGGCCCCGGAGGCTCCAACAGGACACGGACAGCTGGGGCTTTGTCCTGGCAGCCTCGGAATCCATGCGGCACTTCTCGAGCCGGAGCGATCCGCAAGGGTCCCCGGGACCCCGAAGACGGAGCAGAGACGCGCCCGCCGTGATTTTTCAAGACCCCCGTATCCGAGCGCTCCTTCTCGCGGTCCTTTTCGAATTGCGCTCGGCCGTGCCCGCAAGAGACGCCTTCAAGGCCAAAGCAATTCCAGAGCGTCATCATAGTTCCTCCCAGATTGCAGTGCTCGGGCTCAGGTTATCAATAACCGCAGCGTTTAACCACAGAGATGCGGAAGGTCAGACTTCAGGGAGTGCGAAGGATATCACATTCGAACTCGTAACACCTTATTAAATCCTTCCCCACTCTGTTAGATGTTCGTTCAGGGTACCCTCCTGGGGCCATCAAACGGATCCGTTCGACTCTAATTCGACTCCAGTCCGACTCTAGCTCGACTCAGGTTCGATTCAAGTCGACGGGCTTCCGA